CGCTCTATATAAAGGCTATAAGCCATGGCCATGGCCCAACGTGTTGGTTGACAAAAATATCAGCGAATTTGGTAAGACACTTTTTACTAATTTACATTTATTTTACAATAGTCATACACAAATATTGCTATTTTTATGTTTATTGACTCTGTAATCCAAATCGTTTCTGTATTCTATCCTTCTTACACATGTGCCAACCCCAACTCCATGCTGACGAGTCCATGAGACCATGAAGGACGAAACGCCGCGTACAGGGATATTGAATTTTACACACATGACTATCTCTTTCTCTCGCTCTATATATTTTACATGCCTCCATACAAGCTTTTTAGTACAACGCGATCATACTCTAGCTTTGGGTCTGATCAAATATATATTTTACACCACAGGATATATTTTACCTTTACAATTTTACACATGCATGCATCTCCAGTTTTGTGTTTCATAAATCTACACCTGTAAGCTACTTATATTTCTTAGGTTCACATTTATACAAATACAAGTCGTTTTTTTATCTTTTATCCTCAGTTTCATCAAATACAACATAATTTTCACAGGCATACATTGTGCCAACAACATGTACGAGGCCATCACACTATCATATTTCACACAGCACTTTTAGATCTAATATTTAGGGATTATTGAGGCATAAAATTATTACTAGGACACCAATATGGTTCTCATTATATCTAAACTTAAAAAACAGGTTATGAAGATGTTCCATCTTTTCTTAAGCAGTGAAAGCTATAGATAGGAGTCTGTATTTTTCTCTGCATGCAGTACATATCCCACTATAAATCACGGCGCGACGCAAAATATAGCCTTTGCCTCAGCAGGAATACTTAGGAGTCCTTTTAGTGGAAACTCCTGTGCCAGAAAGATGTGCCATCTTTTGCTGGCAGGTTATGAAGATGCTCCATCTTTTCTTAACCAGTGGAAGCTAAATAGGAGTCTGTGTTATTCCTTGTATACGGTACATATTATATACTATAAAACACGGCGCAACGCAAAATATATAGTCTTTGGCTTTGCCTTTGCCGGAATAATTAAGAGTCCTTTTAGTGGAAACTCCTGTGCCAGAAAGATGTGCCATCTTTTGCTGGCAGGTTATGAAGATGCTCCATCTTTTCTTAACCAGTCGAAGCTGAATAGGAGTCTGTGTTATTCCTTGTATACAGTACAGTACATAGTATACTATAAAACACGGCGCACCGCAAAATATAGCCTAGTTGGCTTTGCCTTTGCCGGAATAATTAAGAGTCCTTTTAGTGGAAACTCCTGTGCCAGAAAGATGTGCCATCTTTTGCTGGCAGGTTATGAAGATGCTCCATCTTTTCTTAACCAGTGGAAGCTAAATAGGAGTCTGTGTTATTCCTTGTATACAGTACAGTACAGTGCATATTATACTATAAAACACGGCGCAACGCAAAATATAGCCTATATAGTTGGCTTTGCCTTTGCCGGAATAATCAAGAGTCCTTTTAGTGGAAACTCCTGTGCCAGAAAGATGTGCCATCTTTTGCTGGCAGGTTATGAAGATGCTCCATCTTTTCTTAACCAGTCGAAGCTAAATAAGGGTCTGTGTCATTCCTTTTATACACTAAATATTAGTATGTTGCACTATAAATCACGGCGCGCGCAACACAAAATACTGAGCCTTTGCTCCTTTTAAGAGTCCTTCTAGTGTGAAGACGCTTCATTTTTCTTAACCAGTGGAAGCTATTGAGAGTCTGTATTACAATTATCCCTTGAAAATTATGGAGCAAAATACGTAACGCAAATATATAGCCTTTCAAAATAAATTATTTTGTATAATTATATAATCTATTTTCCGCTCCTTGCGCGACCTTTTTCCAATGTAGGCCTATTGCAATTCGTAAGGGAAAACAAACTAGTAAGAAGCTATTAATGCCATATACCTAAAGAACGCATTGCGCATCTAAACCAGAAGCATCTTTTGGCGCATCTAAGCCAAAATAGCATTGTGAATATATCTATAGCGGTATCCTGTAGTGTTAGCTCTTTCAACAATCAAGCCATTTATTTGTACTAAACTGTACCTAAAATATCATATAACATATGTAGGTTAATATTCGGACTGAAATTAAACTTATTACATGTTTGATCTCACACTGTGTTTGAGCAGTTTCTCCTGGATTGATGACATCGCATAGCGTTAATTGTTGGTGGGTAAGCTGCACCCGCTTCCTGAAAAATGCAAACTCAGTTTGCAAATCCCGCTGGTTTTCAAAACGTGCGGCTCGTCATGTTCTATTCTATTCTATCCGCATTTTACAACATTTCGCAACGAAACTTCGGAATATTACTAATTTTGTGATGCTCTTTCAAGCTGTGATGAAATTTTTGTCCAGGCATATTTAGATCAAAATTTCACTCATAAGGGGAAAGGTCTATTCGCGACAAATGGTCATTTATAGGCTCTGTTTATATCAGGAAGGTAGCCGACGAGGGATTGTATCCCTATCAATGCGAAACTTTCTTATTATTGCCACTACCAACACTGGCACATATCGTTCTGTTTAGGTGATGCCACTTAGTGTCTAATTTAAAAAGAATATCGCTTCCTGGTATCCTTATATTACCGAATACTTATACAACTAGGGGACTTCACTCAAAAACCTTTAGGTTTCTAGTATACCTCTTAGCCCTTACTTTGTTTATAATATTTTTATGTAAATCAATACTCAAATATTTCTGGCGAAACCAATATAAAAAAAAGTTGGGGGCGAAATTACTCAAAGAACTAGCCGAGTATTATGAGTCTTGCGGTAGGTGGCTTAGAATAGGCCCTTGAAGTGCTCATGATTTCGAAATAAGGAGTCATTTTTTTAGCTGGAAATTTCGAGTAATGCCCAAATTCCAGATATCTGCCCTTTCGTAATAACTGTATGGAGTCTGTATGGTCCACAGCCAAGCTAAATGTATACCAACATGTATTTGAAATAACTGGTAAAATTCATGTGTTATTTTCAATCTCTGTACTTGTTTACGAGATAATCCGACTGTTTACGGAAACGAAAGGTCAAGAACTCAGACATTCCGCATCCGGTCCCGTCGATAACAACATTGCTTCAGTGTGCTGGCTGGAGCACGTTCTCTCTTCTCCGCAGAGGTTTTCATTGTCCTTTCGGGAATTTCTTGGCATTTATAGAAAGGATGAGACAGTCGACTGTGAAGTTTGGGCTTTGGAAGAAATTAATTTCATGCGCAAAAATTCTTGCAATAATGAAAATCTGCGTCAAATTGTAAATAATTCTGAACACGAATTCCACAAGAAAGTCCAGAAAACAAACTAGAAAGCTTCTGCAGAGAAGAGGGACATACGTTCGTCTACTTCTGGACCCGCCACCAAAAACCTCGAAAATCCAGTTCGTTAGTTCGTAAATGTGACTTCAGAGTCCAGGTTTCAGTCCAACCATGTTTGAGCAGACATGTTTATAATCCCTCGATACATAGCAAATTAAAAGCTGGTTAACTACGTAATAAAGGTGTGATAACATACGAATGACGTGCTCTCCTCAGTAGAAATCATCAAGGTCGTCCGCAGTTTTGTCTGATGCGGCTTGGTTGTTCTTCACCGTGTCCTGATTTCTGTACATTTCGGCTACCTGAGAAAGAAAATCAGCCACAATGTATTGCAGTATAGTCCAAGGGAAGCAGAGGGAGCCCCCCCTGCCTAACCATGACTGTATGATGGAGTTGGGAGGTGGGTTAAAGTTTGAAAATTGTTTACATAAAGAACTCTTCAAGCGGTAAAATGTTTCTTTAAAAATCTCGGAGGTGACTTGACACTTTCAAACGTAGACAAAAAGGAAGGGTGTAATTAAAATTTATTGATGAATTATCTCCATTCAATGCAAATTAAATACGCCATTGTACTCTTCAATAAGAGTAATTGTTGTGTGCAAAAACAATTAACATTCAAAAAGCTAGTTCAAACAACGTCAAATCAAAGAGTACATAAGAACATTTGATTGGTAAACATTAGTTTGCTTTCATCAATTTGTTGCTTTTCATTGTTTTTTTCTGAACGAAGCTAGATTGCTAGCAATTTTAATATTGTTAACCTGTATTGTTTATTTTACCCCGAAATAGATATTAAGAATATTCTCAAGATAAAACTGGTGTTAAAAGACTTGTCCTTGTAAAGCGGATTACAATGTATATATCCTGAATTAAAAAATGTGTCTACACACGTAGAAACGCACAAGTTGTAACAAACTGTAGCAGATTTGTAGCAATGCTGTTCCAACAACTTGTCAACAGGATGTGTTCGCACCGCTTGTTCCCAGCTTGTTGACAAGTTGTCGACGGCTTGTTTGACAACTTACTACAAGGTTGTTGAGCTCAACAGACTTGTTACAAGTTGTTTCAACAACTTGTTATCGTCCTGCAATTCAACAATTTGTCAACAAGTTGCGAGTGACAACCTTGCAGCAACTTGAGTAAAATAACAACATTGTTACAACTTGTTGACAAGCTTGCTACAAGTCTGTTGCGAACACATCTTGTTGACAAGTTGTGAGATCTTTATGTGTGTTGATGACATCCCCCCACCACCCGGCACCCTCATGCAGGGAGATATCGTATACCTGGACGCTAGAGGTAGCTTGCTCTGGTTTCTTGTCGTCACGTACTCGGATAAATCTGGGAAAACGTAGCGAGATTCCTTTCTCTGAGTCAACCTACGAAACAATTTGACAAATCAGATCAATCCTGGTCTGTTTAATGGCGTGAACCATCGAAAATTGTACTTACAATCCCAGCAGCCGCTTTGTGAACGGGAGAGATTGAGAGGTCGGCACATTTTACTTCCCAAACCTTAAGAAACAAAGAGAGAATGAAGTCAACGCTCTAACGAAAGTCGTGGGTGTTTCTCGGGTACCCTGATTTCCTCCCACAGGGAATGTCGACAGAGTGGGTTAGGAATGCAATTCAGCTTTTTTTATTTAAAAATTCGCCCTATTTACATAATTAAGATAGAATATACAGTATAACGTCATACTAGAGCTAGGAACCTTTAAGAAACTTTTAATACAAGGCCCCTATTCAAACGATATATATTCAACCGATATATATTTAATTAATATATATTATTACCAGTTAATATATAGTACATAAAATTTTAAAGAAAGTTGTGATATAGTTTTACAATAATATAGATATACAACAATACGAAGTTAAGAGTGCATGATGATGAAAGCATTGTTTTAGAAGTCCATGAAGAATATAATGCTGTATTATTCTTGTATTTGATAATAAATTTCAGCTTGTTTTTTGAACAATTGGGAAAATTTAATGGATTTTAAATCTTCGTTCAAATTATTCCAAATTTCTACTCCTTTATTGGAGAGAGCTTAGCTTTCAAGTAAGGCTGGTTAATACACCCCGATATGTACATGGTATACAGTTTTGCTATTCGCCTTACCTTGGCTGTATCAAACCAGACATCAGGCTCAAGACCTTGATCATAACGATAGTACGGTTTAGGTTTGTCAATAATATGTTCTTGAAATAAATTATATTGAGTTTCCAGGTCGTCATCTTTTAAACCAGTGCTCACCTAAAACATCACGTGTCGTCAGGTTTTACTGTTTGTAAGTGTTTCAGGGTAGCTGATGGTATAGTCAACAGCTTCAGAAATACGATGTTTGTGATGTTACTTCGGAGTGTGCATCTACACCGGGCAAGCTGAAAAGTTTGCCTGACCACCGTGAGAATCGAACCCACGACTTTTTGAAGGGACTAGACTCTGTTCCAAAAAATCACCAACTCGAACCGAGTTGACCTCGTAGCTCAGTTGGTAGAGCATTGGACTAGTATCCCAAAAAAGGTCGCGGGTTCGATTCCCACCGTGGTCATACAATCTTTTCACCCTTGCCCGGTGTGGATGCACCCAGAATAACACCACAACCATCGTATTTACCTGAGTACATAATACCATGGATAATAAAATAAATGGATAGGAAACTAGCTGACGCGACCTAATGTTTTCAATGGGTTGATGGCGTGGTTGGATGTTGAAGCCTAGTTGCAAACCAAATTCTCAAAAATGCCATGTTTAGCAATAATACAGCTAAACATTTTAGTCCAAGAGCAAATAAATATAACCACGCCATTCTACGATGAAAACTCTAAGTATTCCCAGTCAATTTTAGCAAATATTTCAAGCACTAAACAGTGAAATTTCGTTAAAATTTGTGACGCCAATTTCGTAGCTACAAATGTAAAAAAAAAATACAAAACAAAGACGAAAAACATTTACCTTGAATACTTTGTCGTGGCTTAGGCATGTTTTTAAAACAATTAGACCAGTTTATGCTTCAATATCACCCTTTTAAAGTGGAAAATATAGCAAAACAACAAAAATGCTGAGAACTTTGGTAATATTCGCAATACGCGTGACGTCATGTTTTTCAACAAGGATGAGTCAATGACGTCAGGAAGTTTCCTATCCAGTTATTTTACAATCCATGATTACACCAACACACACAAAAAGTATCTCTCAATTTCATTTAAATTTGCCACCAAATACAAGCCTACTATACATATGAAAACAAGTAATATTTTCTCGCTCTGATAACTGGAGGTTGACTACCATCAGCTGCGCAATAGTCGGCTTAGTAAACCCACCTATATGGACACTTAAAGTAGCGATAGAACGTCAAACCCGGACAGCCATTGTTACCTTGCAACACGACTGAAATTCTTCTTTCTGTTCGTCGTAGCAAGCAACCAAGAAGCCGCCATAACGACCAGCTCGCTTGCCTTTCCCCATGTACCCGCCGATCACCAATAGGTCCAACGTATCACCAACGCCTTCTAAATAATCTTTCTTTAACTACACAAAATAAACAAGACAGGAATGGTCTTTACTCGATCACTTGCGAGATCAGTACACTGTAGAACAGATATAACTATTCAGTATATGAATAAAGTTAGCCCAGATCAAACGAGAATGTGAGTTGATGACAGTTGATAAGCGAGAGTTTGCAAGAGAGTTTCATCAACTCTCATACCCCGGTCAAACGAGAACAAGAGTTGCATGAGAGTTGATGAGAGTTGAGAAGCGAGAGTTTGCATGAGAGTTTTCTCAACTCTAATTCCCCTGTCAAACGAGAACAAGAGTTGCATGAGCGTTTGATGAGAGTTGAGAAGCGAGAGTTTGCATGAGAGTTTTCTCAACTCTAATTCCCCTGTCAAACGAGAACAAGAGTTGCATGAGCGTTTGATGAGAGTTGAGAAGCGAGAGTTTGCATGAGAGTTTTCTCAACTCTAATTCCCCTGTCAAACGAGAACAAGAGTTGCATGAGCGTTTGATGAGAGTTGAGAAGCGAGAGTTTGCATGAGAGTTTTCTCAACTCTAATTCCCCTGTCAAACGAGAACAAAAGTTGCATGAGAATTGTTGAGAAGCGATCAACTCTCGTTCTCGTTTAACCGGGAGCTTTAGTTAAAAGTTAGACGAGCTCTACCTTCAACCAGTTGTGCGACCGCTTGGCTATTTCATACGTGGCGTCGACTTCCAATGTCTTCACCATCAACCCTTCACAGTTTCCTAAGAAAGAATTTGTACCATGCGTAAGCTGAGGGTGTTGTGGCTCAGTTTGTATACATGCATCCATTGTGTCTTTAATCTCACCTTTGATGGACTCGTCCAAGAATTCAGCGATGTCATCTGTATCTGTCGACGTTATGCTTTTCGCAAAGATAAATTCCTAAAACAAATATAACGGTCGTGTTATATAAGGTAATTTCTGTTGCAACATGAAATGCAGTCACCAAGCTTGCCTTTCAAGCTGGGAGACCTGAGTTCAATCATTCGTTGGACCTCTACTCAAGGTCTTGAAATAATTGAGGAGAAAGTGCTACTTTTACATTGACAAGGCTACAGCCTACAGATTAACGTACCCCATCTATCTCGTTGAATGAAGATCTGAGTATTTCTCGTCTAACTTTGAAAGGCTCTTTCACGTACGACTGCAATAAAATAATATTAACAAATAAGTCATGTAAGAATATAAAAATATTATTAACACTACAAGATTTCAAGATGAATGCATACCTTTCCGTTCATATACAGCAGATCAAACGCATAAATACAAACTTGGACTTTGATTTCTGAAGCATCAGCATCCTGGAATATTTAAAGTCAGTTGAGGTTACTGAAGTATCAACTCGTGTCGTTTAATTCACAGTGTTGTTTCATACTTTTTTCTTTCTCGTGCTCAAAACTTGGAAAGGTAAAATCTGTTTCCTCTCTCGATCCCATGCAACGGCTTCGGTATCTATGATACACGACTCGACGTCTTCCTTTAGGACCTGAAAATAAGCCGGAAACCAATTCAGTTTATTGTAGAAATGATTTCATTTATGAAATTTGCTGTGTTGGTGTAATGTACTCACGTGATTAAGATGCTTGTGATGTTACTCTGAGTGTATATCCACACCGGGCAGGCTTGAAAAATATGCCTGTCCACGGTAGGAATCGAACCTACGACCTTTGGAATGCTAACCCAATACTCTACCAACTGAGCTACGCGGTCAGGTCGGTTCGAGTATTCATTTATACTGAATGGCTCTATCACATCTCCCCACAGAAGTCAGTTACCTGTGACATTCTTGCGATGACATCAGGATATTTTGAAGTATTATTCTCTTGATTGCGACTGTATACACGAATATCTTTGTTATTCAAAACATGGATCTGAAAACGTCCAAGGAGTAAGTCAATTACAAGCCTTACGTAGTATTTAACACATACTGTAGAACCTGACGCTGTCATTCAACTGACTTCTTGAGCCATCTCACTGTCATTCAACTAACCTGAGCCCTCTCCCCATCATATTTATATTCACATGTGAATGAAGCATCTTCAAATCTTTTAAAGACTTCTTCCACGCCCTTCGTAGGATGTGCCAACATCGGTTTCAATGGAACGCCTAAAATTTTGAAAATAGTTTTTCAAATTTACAAAGAACTGTCCAGAACTGATAGGGCTATTCAATAAATAAAGCTAAGTTGGTTAAGTTTTGTCCTGTAGTAACACTGGACAAATAACGACTCGCTCTTGAACAACAATTTGGACACACCTGATAGAGCTGTCCAGTAGAAATAAAGTTAGTTTAGTTTAGGTTTCCTCCTGTAGTGACACCGGATCAATAAGAGATGATCCTTACTCGACCTCTAGGAAGAACAGTTTAGAACTGATAGAGCTATCCAATATAAATAAAGTTAGTTTAGTTTAGGTTTACTGATGTAGTAACACCGGATCAATAAGAGATGATCCTTACTGGACCTCTACGAAGGAACAATTTAGAACTGATAGAGCTATCCAGCAGAAATAAAGTTACTTTAGTTTAGGTTTCCTGCTGGAGGAACACTGGACCAACAAGAGATGATCCTTACTGGACCTCTAGGAAGAACAGTTTAGAACTGATAGAGCTATCCAGTAGAAATAAAGTTAGTTTAGTTTAGGTTTCCTCCTGTAGTACCACTGGATCAATAAGAGATGATCCTTACTGGACCTCTAGGAAGAACAGTTTAGAACCGATAGAACTATCCAGTAGAAATAAAGTTAGTTTAGTTTAGGTTTAGAGAACAGAACCTGGTGTAAGATGGCAATGTTGAGGTAATTCTTGCCAGCCATGTTCCAGTAAGGCAGGAATAAGGAGATTATAATTTGGCAGTTCACTAAAACATTTCAAAACAAACTCGTTATACTAAGTATACTGTCGTCTTGCAAATGGAAAAATAGCGTCCTGTATTACAGGTTTCCAGAAAATTTACCAGTAACAAGTCTTTACACACAAAGCGGCTTTGTCGAGGGTTTTCTTAAAACTCTCAGCAGATACACCTTTGCTGGCGTCCAGCACTTCTGGAGGAAAATCTGGTTTGAAAAACAAAACGTGAAAAACAATAGACAACTTAATAAGTTCTTTGTATGTTTGCATGGCGATAAAACATATAATAGACAACTTGCATGTTAGACTAATTTTTTATTTAGGCAACCCGTAAAGAACTTATTAAAATTAGTAAAATTGCAAAATTACGAAATGTTGTAAAATACAGAAAATATAGCCTTGCGAAGTTGCATATTTTCAGTATGTTTGTATTACGTGCGGAAATTGTTACCATTTTTGAGCTGAAAATGGTAACAATTTCCGCACGTAATACAAATATACTGAAAATATGCAAACTTCGCAAGGCTATATTTTCTGTATTTTGCAACATTTCGCAACCAAATTTTGCTATTTTACTAATTTTATTATGTTCTTTTTAACTATTGTGTTTGATTCCCTTCTCTTTACTTAGATTAAAATTTAGTCTAACATGCAAGTTGGCCATTGTTGAAATTTCCGACCACAGAAAAGACACGCATTCACGATTGTTTCGCAGTTTCCACGTGGAGTAATGGCATCAGGATATTACATACCTTTGTTCGGTGGTGTTAAAACGACGGCGTGGGCCAAAGCTGTCAAAACAGATTGTTCTGCCAATCCAATACGTAGCTTGCCTGCTAGAGATCTGGAAAAAAATATTCAGTTTTATCTTCATTGGTCATGTACGGACGAGAAAAATTATATGGTTAAAGTGAGCATTTCTACCTTGTGAGATATCTGGCTTCAGACTGACGGCATGCCACGAACATGCTCTTAACCTTGTCCACTTTACGATTTACAGACTGTAGGAAGACAAAAACATGTTTATTATACGTTACCACACCATACCACACCATATCAGGCTATACCAATATACCATACCACAATATACCATACCCAACTATATCACACCATACCATATCATACCATAGTAACCATACTATACCATACCACAATATACCATACCATACTATGTCATACCATGCCATACCATACCATATTATACCATACTATACCACAATATACCATACCATACTATATCATACCATACCAATTACCATACCATACTATACCATACCATACCATACCACAATATACCATACCCAACTATATCACACCATACGATATCATACCATAGTAACCATACTTTACCATACCACAATATACCATACCATACTATGTCATACCATGCCATACCATATCATACCATACAATACCACAATATACCATACTATATCATATCATATCAAATCATACCATACCATACCATACCATGCTATACCATACCACAATATACCATTCCATACTATATCACATCACACCATACCATACCATACCATATCATACTATACTATACCATACCATATCATACTATATCATACTATACCATACCATATCATACCATGTACTATAACGTAACACAATATACCATACCATACTATATCACACCATACCATACCACACCATACTATACCATACCACAATATACCATACCATACTATATCACACCATACCATACCATACCGCACCACTGTCCACACCATACAACACCACACTATACCATACCATACTATATCACACCATACCATACCATACCAAATCATACCATACCATACCAGTGTCCACACCATACAACACCACACTATACCATACCACAAAACATACCACACCATCAAGTATAATGTCCTTACAAAATGGCCAGTCATCAAAGCTATATCTTTCAACTTGTTATAAACTGTGGCAACTGTTAACTTGGCCGGTGCGAACATCGTGCGCTGCGTGGAACGACTCGCCTAAACAACATAAAGACGTCGAAATAATTGTACCTAGCATACTTGCCTTACTACTTTAAAAGATAACAGTTTGCTAAGTTGCGAAGTAATTTTTTCAATCAAATCATTAATAATTCATGAGTTCAAAACAGCATCGTTGTAGTAATTCAGTTAAAACATTTTGGCTTATGTTAAAACGTAGAATACCTCTGCGACGATTCCCAAGTCGCCTTTTTCTCCAAATTCAGATTTAACTTGCTGTGCACTACGACCTTAAAAAATGTTTCGTTTTTTTAATAAATAAGATAAATAAATAAATAAATGTTGTACCGTAAATGCATGCTTCGTTATTTCAAAGGATGGTTTACACAGCTTTTTTACACAGAATTTCACATAAGTAAATTCTAAGTTTTAAAGGATTTGTAAGAAATGTTTGAACTGACTCAGTTTCTTACAAATCCTTCAAAACTTAGAATTTACCTATGCAAAATAGTAGTACACACACGTAAAAACGCACAAGTTGTAACAAACCTGCAGTAGACTTGTAGCAATGCTGTGCCGGTAACTTGTCGACAGGACGTGTTCGCACTGCTTGTTCACAGCTTGCTGACAAGCTGCCAATGACTTGTTGACAACTTGCTTAGAAGGTTGCAGTTCACAATTTGCTACAAGATCGTCCTGCAATTCAACAACCTTGTAGCAACTTGACGAAATAAGTTGCATTACGACTTGTTGATAAGCTTGCTACAAACCTGTTGCGAACACATCTTATTTCACACGTTGTGAGATTTTTACGTGTGTACGAGGTAATGAGGGAACACAATGTATGATCGTTTTGCCAACTTGCCAATCTTTGACATCGCTAGACTGTAATCTTCATTACTTTTTTTTGTATGTGGAAAACAATTATCAAAATCACGTACCAGTGGCTTCTGCAATAACTTTTATCAAAACACCATCGCCAATTCCCAGTTCAATGCCCTCATAAGCAGGTGCCAACTATAAAGGTCCAAAACAAAGTGTGTTCACACCCGCTAAGAGTTTTAAGAAAAAAATCTCAAAGCATGCACTAGGGTCTATACCTTATTTAAACACAAATACAAACATGGCAAAAGATCGTCTGGCGTAAGAGCAATCACAGAACGAAACAAATTGCACAATGTCGATGTAATTTTCAACCTTAAAACATTAAAAGATATTTTATCTACAAGACTGAGAATTTGTATCTTCTTTATCTACATAAAAAAAAAACAATAAAAACATTTTGACGTTTCTAGCGACTGTCAAATTGTTCCCAATGGTTTTTAGATCGTTCAGACACAAACCACGGCAGCTTATTGTAGAATACTACATACACTGGACCACCACGTTTGAGATATCTTTTTCAGGTAGTTCAGACACAAACCACGACAGCTTATTGTAGAATACTACCTACAATGGACCACCACGTTTGAGATATCTTTTTCAGGTAATTCAGACACAAACCACAACAGCTTATTGTAGAATACTACCTACACTGGACCACCACGTTTGAGATATCTTTTTCAGGTAGTTCAGACACAAACCACGACAGCTTGTTTAGACTAAATGTTATTTGAAACATTCAAAACCTGGCAGAAGTGTCTTCAATTGATTGAAATGTTCTTGCAAGGGCCAAGTACGGAACTCTATAAAAGAAAATTTTAAAAAATAAGAAACAAAATTTAAACTGATAGAGTTGATGCACTCGAATGAGAAATGTTATGGAATTAATGCATACCTTTCCTTATGTTTCCAACAAGCGTGTTTTATAGGGTGGTAAGAGTTCTTTTGCGGATTATATTGTGTAGAGTCGACCATTTCTTCAGGAGAGTCATCTGTTTTCTCAGATTTTGAAGCTGGTTTTCCTTGAAACATAATGAACAAAATTTTGATCTGGACAAGTCTAGACAAAAATTTCATCACAGCTTGAAAGAGCATCACAAAATTAGTAATATTCCGAAGTTTCGTTACGAAATGTTGTAAAATGCGAATATAGCCCTGCGAAGTTTGCCGTTTTTCAGTCATTTTGTATTACGCACGGGAAATTGATACCTTTTTTCAGAAAGCGGTACCAATTTCCCGCGCGTAATACAAAATGACTGAAATACGGGAAACTTCGCAAGGCTATAATAATATTATCCGCATTTTACAACATTTCGCAACGAAACTTCGGAATATTACTAATTTTGTGATGCTCTTTCAAGCTGTGATGAAATTTTTGTCTAGAGTTGTCTGGATCGAAATTTTGTTCATTAGGTAATAGGTCCATTGAATTTAGCGTGTATGTATAGGCAAAAAATTTTATAATAAAAATCCTAACTTCAAAATCTTCCTGTTTCCTTACCAAAAAAGTTGTGGAAAGTTTTAGACGGTTGGCTTGATGACTTTTTGTTATCTTTAGCATCGTCACTGCTTTCATTATTTTCTTTTTTCACATTCTTTCCTTTTGTTTTACTTTCTTTTACTTCTTTTTTACTCTTCTTTTTCGTTTCTCTTTCTTCTTCATGTTTTATTTCTGTTTTATTTTCATCCTCACTTTCGTCTGTGTCCATTTGTTCATCTTTGATGGACTTTTCAGCGTCATCATTTTTCTTCGATTTCTTTGTTGCTTTCTGGGAACAGTATGAAATTTAGACAATTTTGGTGAAATGATAGAGTATGGTTAACACAAGTGCATGTGCCTCAGGAAATGGGGATGCGCCTCAGGAAAAAGCATGTTTTGTCTTTGGCCACAGGTTGGTAGTTCCCACCTTTGTGGTTGAGACATTACTTAGGTCTTGTGCATGTAATGTGTGAAAATTGTTATAAAGAAAGGCACTGCTACACTTGCGGTGACAGACTACACAGCAAACCAGCATGAGAATGTACGATAATTGGTAATCTGCACTAATGGTAAATTTAGTAAAAATCCTGCCATACTTCTTTACTTTCGTCACTATTTGAAGAACTATCTTCATTAGCTTTTCTCTTCCTCATGTGTTTTCTTGCTACAACGAAAATCAATGGACATAAGAGACACAACACACTAACCACCTAATCGGGGTGCGAGTATGTCACAAAAACCCTTCCAGAAGTATGTCACTTTGGCTGTAAAGCCTCGTTTTTGTGATTGAAGGACTTGGAATTAACTAATCTCACAAACACAAAAACAAGGCTGTATAACCAAATGAAGCCTTTCTTGAAGGGTGTATTGTCACACATGTACAACATCAAACATACCAGTTTTGCGTTTTGGTATGTCGTCATCACTACTAGCAGAACTCGAAAGCTTTGGGCTGCTTTCTTTGTAGCCTCTTTACTTCCTTTCTCGTCCTTGTCTTTACTTCCCTTCTCGTCCTTATCATTACTTCCCTTCTCATCCTTATCTTTATTTCCTGTTACTTCCTTATCTTTACTTCCCTTCTCGTCCTTATCATTACTTCCCTGTTCTTCCTTATCTTTACTTCCCTTTTCTTCCTCATCTTTACTTCCCTTCTCGCCCTTACCACCAGTTTCCACAGACCCGCCATTCACACATTCCTGGTCACCTTTCATCTCGACATCTTTGTTGCCATTGACATTCCCATCTTCTTCGTCACCACTATTGTCGAGTATTTTCTTGGAATTTTTCTTGGTTGTTTTCTTGATGGGTGAAAATTCGGTGTCTTCTTTAGTTTCGTCCTTGACTGGGGATTCCTCAGAAGACTTCACACTAAAAGTGTACAAATGTGCATAAATTTTTTCAAGGTGATGTTTTATATACTGGAAACGGATGATCCATCTGGATGAACTTGTACACAAGGACCACAAATAAGGTTTTAAAACCCATTGTGCACCAGAGCTCTCCCCTCGGCGAGCAAAATCATCTAGCATTGGGCAGAGCAAAATAGTATAGTAGGGTGCAATGCCCCTTAACAGGTTCAAGTCTGATCAGGGGCATAGCCAGCCACAAACAAGGTCTAATTATTGCCTGGCCATCCGAAGGCATGGTTCCTGGGAAATTTGACTACCTCACAGGCATTTGTTGTCAGTAATGTAAATAAGCTTGGCATCCATGTCATATAAATCACCAGATAATACCCTAACTCCCGCAACGAACGCCTGTGAGTTAGCCAAATTGATCTGGTTGAACGATTGCTCCATACAGTATATCTCAATTTTATCCCACACTACATATACCTTGATTCCTTGTCACTTTTCTGTTCATTGTTGTTCTCTTTAACTTTAGGTTTTGATGAGAAAAAAGACCTAGCAATATAGCAGACGTTTTAACACGCTTTATACAGCACGTTGAATAGAACTAAATGCCAAAAATGATTCATTTGTACTGTATATTTAAACTCAATCATTTAAAAGATCACACTACACATCTACTTACGCTATACTTTTTTGAGGCATAGTTGAGAGATTACTCAGAGCATTCAAATCAAGATCAAACACAACAATCACTAACACATTTCGAATAGTTTCTGGCAATAGAACAAATTAATATTTATGTTTACTTTTTTATTCACTTTCCCGCCAAAATCCGCCATTAATGGAGAACTCAGCTGGCCTGTGAGTGTGTATTCGTTTAGGTCGAGATACCTCAATGAGGACCTGGGTACGAAGTTGCGCAAAATATGCTAATATATTTTAGGTAGTTTGCACGCGCTGGTTTCCACAAAAGAATGGACTTTCATAGCAGTGAACAATGTCATCCAGGAATCAGAATTATCCATTGTCTTTTCATTGTTTTGAAAATCTCACTGTTCTCCATGCCATCTTGATCCAGCAGGGGAACTATCAATCGTCTTTGCAGCAAAGTGCCCTACTGCATCCTCTATTCACAGAGCCCTGATCATTTTATATTATTTGTAACAACCCCCCTCCACCTAACACAAGTCACTATATTCAAGATTATTTCCATAAACAGCACAGAATGTCATGCATTTCTATTACATTTCTATTTGAAAAGTTTTAAAGTAAATTACAGAAGCATACTGAACAGTCACATCAGTTTTTCATATAGTTTTGCAGTTACTCATACGGTGCTTTAATAAAGATGTATGGATGAATTAAAGTCTACAATCAGTAATATTTTTTCCTTATTTGACATAGTACAAAGTAAATATAACTACCGCTAAATACCAGTACAAATTGCAGCCTAAATTTAACGTTATGACACAAATCACATTATTATTGCATTCCTTGAACTGGATATAAAATGAAAATAATTGCTAGCATAAGTGTGTTATACCATATTTAGGAAACTGTGAATTATAAAACTAACTTCAACCGGGATTACAGCACATTATCATTGCATTTGCAGGCGTCTGTTTCTTGATGTACAAATTAACCAACTCAAATCAAGACAATTAGTAACTAGGCTCTCATAACGTAAGCATTAGGGGGACATGCCTTTTCTTACATAAGAAAAGATTACATAAATTGTCAAATGTTGCAGAAATCATCTTTGCATTAACAATCTCAAATTGCCTTATTTTACATACAATCTAAATGTCCGTAACCAGAAATTCTTGTTTTGAGTTGCTTAAAATACACTAGCTAGTTTAAATCACAAATAAATCTTTTCTTGTCCATGTCCTACAAAAAATATTACAGGATAGCACAGCCCTTCTTTTTTCTAACTTGTGGTGATGGGCACAAGACGGCTCGGATCGCTTCATCAAAAACGATTTTAAGACCTTTTTGGGTCAAAGCAGAGCACTCCAGGTATTTGACCGCAGCAATATCCTTCATCATCTGAAGGCCTTGTGGGTACGTTATTGGTGCTAATTTCTTATCCTTAAGTTTGTCAATTGTGTCCTTGTCGTCGCGAAGATCTAGTTTGGTACCGACAAGAACGATTGGTGTGTTGGGGCAGTGGTGACTTACTTCAGGATACCACTAGAAAAAATAGTGCACATGTTAAGAATTACAATGCCAGCTTAAATATTGTTACTAGAAATGTTGTTAGATAATATTATAAAGTGAGGGGAGAAACTACAGGCAACTTTTGTAGACAAACATTAAAGCAAGCTTTAAGAAAGAAATGAGATTTTAGGTGTTGAGTTTGTTTGCATTGAAAGAGTTAATCTTGAACAGTTTGTACCAGTGTAGGTAGTAATTTTGCCGAGCCCCACTACTAATTTCCCAACAAAGGTCCTTTGCTCGAAACATCAATTTTTTCCTCGTACCTTTCAGGTATTTGCATACCTATGAATCAACAGCTTTCTTATTTAAATAATTAACCTGTTAATTTAAGTTGCATTGAGCCCTACATGGTAAAAACGCTGACGCTGCTCATGTTTTGCTGCCCACGTTGTTCACACTTGTCAACCATATTGAACAATATTGTTGAGCCTGAATCGGGTATAACAATATTGTTCAATATTGTTGACAACTGTGAACAATGTGGGCAGCGAAAAGCTGTTCAATCCTGTTTTCATATTTATTGCAACAACCTGAGCTTTTTTAAGTGTGTACTAATTTCCCGAGAGAGTCGACCCTTTCAGTTGTGAATACTTATTATTTTGAAACGATTGATTTTCGAATACGCGAGAAAATATTCCTGCACCAATACGGCGGGCGGGTCAACATATAACATAGCACTTTCTTAATTTTGCCAGAAATACAAGTACTGTGAGGATAAATTTAACCCATTGAGCCACAACGCACCCCAGTGCACCCTACATATTTTTTTTTTACTTGTCTAACGCCATCTGGACAATTTTACTCGTCAATGGGGAAGCTCTGTAGCTTAATGGGTTAACAGATAAACGTAGTCCTGAGAATGCAGGAAATCGCATTTCAGGGCTTCAAATTTCAAAAATGTTCTGGGGAAGAATGTCCCTGGACCGGGTAGTAATACACTCCCTCTGGAAAACCTCCACCCCATCTATCAAATCAGGTCAGATCCACCTCTGGTGCAATACACAGTCATGTTATTGTATCTTTACCTTTGCCCGGACATTCTCAAACGACGCAGGACTGACAAGCGAAAAGCAGATCAGAAATACATCCTGTAATGAAGAACACCACAATAAATGAAAATTGCTTTTAAAACATTAAAACACATTAAAACCAAGTGTTTATTTGTGCACATAAGATGATGCTATTCTGTATGGGTCCACAGCAAGCAAGCTGAAAAACTGATCAACTGTACAGGCATGGCATCATCTAATAAATATAATTTGTCTGGACATGGATATAAATTTCCTATCTTTAATAAATTACCGTTTGTGGATAGCTTAACGGTCGAAGTCTGTCATAATCTTCTTGCCCTGTTGAAAGTAAAGATATGAACATTACTACAGATTTAAAGCATGTACCCTCACTTGAATCTAAGACTATGTTCATGCCACACCAGAACAAAATAATGCCAACAGAATTTATGTGTGTGTGACACTTCGTCGTTCCAGTTGTTCACAAATTAACTTTGCACTCATGTAAACCCAAAATATTTCAAATAGAGTAAAGAAATTTTAACAAACAGCTTTCAAATTTACTGTTTTGAGATCCAAGATGCTTGGTTTGCAAGCAGTGCAAAAGGTATAACAGCGTTTGTGTTCACATGAAACCACCAAAAACGCTATGATTTCATTTCCCTCTGATTAGAAACTGTGCGCAAATTGTTACAGCAAAGTGACGGCTTCAAACAATTTCGCTCTGACATAGTTTTCAATGCGACAGCTTATTGCAACCTTCCGTGTTGTTTTCAAACCACTCCGATGTAGCGTGAACGTAGTCTAAATCAACTTAACCAATCAGAGCATGATGCTAGTAAAATCTGATTGTCAAATTCTCTTGAAAAAAATAATCAAATTATTGATTGTTTATATAATTATCTGTATTACAGGGCACTACAAACGATGATTTATAGTAACACCATATAGTACACAATCCCAACCAGACATTGGAAGACAATCAAGATTATGTGAATACTATATATTGCTATGTGACAAGCCAGAATAGTTTTCTTGGGGAGAGGGGTGGCTGTCTGCCTATCCAATACAAATAGCCTCCAGTTCTACTCGAATATTTGGGATTTAGTCCAAAACATGCTTGGGCAGACCCATAAAAGGTTGTAAACAATCTAAAAACAATTTAGATCTTAAAAACATATTAATATACATCATAACATATAATATACAAATTAATATTCCATGAGGAAATGCCTGCACTTTGCATTGAAATAGTATTGGGAACTGTCTTTTACGACATTGTTTTACAGTTTTTTTTCCGAAAACAAAAGCTACAATACACCGGAAGGGAGGAAGAGACATCAGCATATATTTACGATTGTCGCTTCGCTCTCATTCAAACTAACAAATAAAACCCCAAAATGCAACAAATACAAGCTTAGTTATCAAAAACTGAATGTAAATACAAAGTTTTCTGCTCGACAAATATTACAACATACCCGCAGTATCCCAAAGTCCCAAATTTATAGGTTTGCCATCCACCATAACATTCGCTGAATAGTTATCAAATCTACGTAATAAAATTACAAAAACCTGGGCGTAAATCACTGATCTAATACATCAAAAAGTAGCCATATTGCCACAAAGTAAGTTTATGTTTGATTACATAAAATTGTGTCATATTTTCAGACTTACACTGTTGGGATGTATTCGCCCGGGAAAGCGTTTGTCGTGTAGCTTATTAGCAAGCAAGTTTTCCCCACGGCTCTGTGGAAATACGAAAAACAAATGCATTAGTTTAGTATGTTAATAATTCTTTACAAGAAGCCCAAACAACGGTTGTCAAACAAGTTTTAGCTGACATATACGGTATTTCCTGATTAACCAACAATTCGGCGTTCGAAAATGCCAAACTATATTGGGCATATTTCGAACTTCTTTCCCAAAAAGCTTTAGATACGCTCCGTTTTACATCAAAATAAAACGTCAGGATACGGACTAAAGCCTCCTGTGAAGTACCAGTACGGTATTTTGATAGTTTTCTAGAGCTTTGATCTGTGAACTAGCACGATGCTACATCGATGTGTGTTTATGTTGTAAATTTCATAAGCCGTACATACTCACCCATCACCGACGACAACGCATTTAATAGCCTGCATAACGACAATATTTCAACAAAAATACAACAAGACGCTCTGTGAGGAGTTAAGAAAGCCAAAAAATTGCCCACAAAGTGAATATACAAGCTAAACTTTAGCGTGCAATCGATTCTTGCTTGAAATATTTTGCTAACCGGTTCAACACACCCTTCTTTTATAACACCCCCAGCAATGATCCAAAAAAAAACATGCCCGCATCGGGCGGATATAAGGGCGTTCTTCCGTACGGAGAAATTACCCAATAGCTAAGTCAATTATCAGCTCTTATCAAGTGTCACATCTGAAAATGTTTAAAATTTTTTTTCATTTGACGTGTTTATTTGGAGCCAAATGCGTAGATTTTGTTTCATTCCCTTGCTGCTATGAGTGTCAACATTCCTGAAGTCCTATATCTATGTTTACAACCCGTATCGGCTTAAAACGCGACGTTTACAAATTGGCCAACATGCACATTTTTACGAAAAAAATTCAGATGAATATACCGGTATTAGGATCATTTTTATGCGAGAAAAGTATTCACACTATTGTTTAAAATAAATTGAAACCAAAATATATGACAAAGCTAGTGATTTTTCTTCATAAAACCGTGACAAATGCGAATAAAAAAATTTATGATGAATTTGCATATATTGCGAACTAATTTGATAACTATATTCAAGCAAAAGTCAAATATCTCCTAACATTCAATTTTCTCTGCATGGGACATTCTCTGAGAACATTTATACATCACAAAGTACATACAAACGTGTTTTTTTAATATTTTATTTCGATTTTTATACTAAATCACATAGCCAGTTCGCAGGCTACTTGCCCTCATTACGTATTCGTTTTTCTACTGGTATTTTTTACCGGTGGGGTTTTAGACACGGGAGTAAAAGTTCGTATAAGGAAACCTGAAGGAAACTCAGCAGGAAATAAATGAAAAGTGTAAATATTTATTTGCCTTCAGCATTTTTTTTTGCTTGATAGTCAAAATTTCCTTATTAATCAAGGTTTCTTTGGCAGCATGTGAGGTTTCAATTAATCACATCGTTGTCTTTTAATGGTTAACCCGAAAATCTGTTTTAAATAATAAAGGAAACAAATTAATTGCTAAACCATGCAGTTCGATTGTTCTCCAATAATGCTTGATTTCCATAATGTCATGCACCTACGCTGGTAGAATTTGTCATTAGTTGTCAATAATCCCTGCCAGGCTGTCACATATAGCACATTAATCTCTTTGAAGTGTCCTTTAATTTGATCTTTGGTACAGGTACAGGTACTGGGCCGCCTAGAGGGGCGGGGGAAAATGAGCAATTGACCCCGGGGTCCCAGCTAAAGGGGGCTAAGGATAAAGTAAAATATGCATAGAAACCACAGTTAAATATTCTCCCAGAATGCCGATGCTATTCTAAGGACCCTAGATTTCAAAATTTTCGCCGAAAAAAATGGACTATTTAAGTCCTCCATAGACTATTTAAGTCATGTATTAAAGGTCCTAAAGGTTCAAGAATATGGAAATCAATCTCTAAAAGAGCGCATTGACTTCAAGAATCTTTGACAATACCCCAAATATTAAATTTAAATTCACAGTAATGATAGTTTTTCCACTGACTGTTAAAACCAGTGAAAGTAGAACCCAACCATGTAGAAACAGCTCCATGAAAGAATGCTTAAAGGTCCTTAGAAAAAAACAAAATGAGGTTAAAAAATTTTCCTGGCATTTTATCACAGGAGTGTCGGGAGTGGCTTCCCGCAGACTATGCGACGTCATACAAATATGGAAATGAAATCCGGAAACAGCAAGTTGACGAAGCATATCTCATCAAAATATTGCGAAACTCATTGGTCAAACTCCCAAATTTATATTTTTAGCTTCCCAGTTGATATAAAACGTCAGATGGTTCAATTTCATGGCGTAGTTTGCATTGGCGTGTTTCGACATAAGTTGAATTGGGGTCGGGTCGTATCAACGAATTTAGGCCATCGCAATTCTTCGGTTTGAAAGAACAATATGCTTCCGTGGCCAACGGTAAAGATCGTCATTGTTGGCGATGGGTATGTGTGTAAAATATTAAGCAATCATAAAGCCGTGGTATATGCAATTACACCATATTAAAGACATTAAACCGTATTGAGTGATATCGAGCGACCCAGACTAGTTCCTAGTCCTCTGTGCACGCGTTTTATTTTCCTGTGACTCCCTTGGCAATTTTCGGAATGATTGGACTTTAACTGCTATTGTCCGTGCACTATTAAGATCGATTTACACTGCCCAACTTTTGCCTAAAACTGTCGCATGGAACCTGCTTACAACTTGAGTTGTACTTTGAAAATAGTCACGCAACACAACACAACACTGTCAACACAACACAACACAAGTTACACAATACAACACAACACAACTACGACAACGTAAGCGATTTGTGTGCTTGCCATTTACACAGTGCAACTCAAGACTCAACTTGTAAGCAGGTTGCATGCGACAGTTTTAGGCAAAAGTTGTGTAGTGTATTAAAATCGGCCTTTAGTCCTGTTTGGAATTAAGTGTAGCTTTCGAGAAGCTTGGAAAGTTTAGAAGCTCTAAGAAGTTTTAATACTTCCAGTGATTTTAATCTAGTGCACTTTAAAAACCATTTTCCTGTTTTTTAATACAGCGCTGTTGGGAAAACGTCTTTGGTCATGACGTATACAGAAGATACATTTCCAGGAGAATATATACCTTATTGGTAAGTTTCCAGATATAACCCAGTAAGTATACCTACTTAAATTGCCTTCTTTGCAGTGTAAATTTGGAAGACCTAATATTTTATTTTTTCTTTTGATAAAAGCGTAGAAAAAGTTACAAAAAACGGAATGGTAGATGGGAAACCTTTCTCCTTAGAACTTTGGGACACGCCTGGTAAATAAAGTACAGTAGACAATATAGTTTTTATAGCTTTTACAATGATATCCCTATTGCTTCTTTTTTCAATTATCGTTTTCTTTTCTTTCTTTGTCAAGCCCAAGATGGCTATGATTATTTTAGACCCCACTGCTACACCCAGACTGTAAGTACTTGTGCTTGTGACCTCAGCACCAATTAGAATTTTGATTCAAATCTGATAAGATTTTGACATGAAACAGCCTTGTTTTGCTACTTGCCATATTTCATATTAGTATCTCCGTTTTTTCTTCAGGACTTGTTCTTTATATGCTTTTCAATAGCCACGCCAATTTCACTTGAAAGTGTCACGAAAAAGGTATTATATCGTAAGGTCTAAACTCAAAAACCGTAGTTTATTATGGTTGCTGGTTTCACTAAGCACTATCGTGCAGCAGATGGGGGTCAACCTGCAGTTATCAGAGTGAGAAAATATTCAAAATAATGTTAATTCTTTTGGTATTTGGAGGCAAATAAATAGAACTGAATGATGTGGTTTCATGCTTTGGCTTTACATTTCTGAAGTTAGTGTCCATCGTCTGTTGTCCCATAACACTCACCAAAACCCATCGGTAACCACTATCTTCATATATTTTCAGTGGTATCCAGAAGTGAGCCAGCACTCTCCTAATACACCGATATTTCTGGTCGGGACAAAACTTGATTTGAGAAACGATGAAAAGGTTCTTGAACTTCTGAAGTCACGTGACCTAAGCCCCGTCACGACGGCGCAGGCGCTGGAAACGAAGGACGCTATTGGTGCATGCAGATATATAGAATGTTCATCTCTGACAAGAGAGAATTTACAAAACTTATTTGATGAAGTATTGCGAGTAGTTCTTGTTGCAACCAAACGCAAAAACAAAAAATGTTTGATAATGTGATCATGGAAAACATAAAACCGACCTAGCCTCGCAAGCAAGCGTCTAAATATTAACAACACACTAACTTTTGATATTAGATTACAAGAAAAATCAAAGAAAATCACGATATCAATTTTATGTATTGACCTCGCGACTTCGTACCTTGGACTACATAAAATATATCGCGTTTCTAACCTCGGTTTTCTGATTCTGTTCATTTGTATTACATGACGTTTTGCGCTAGAATCAAATATGGCGGACGGAAAAGTTGGGAAAGGAGCGATGGATTGTAGTTTTGAGATTTTTAACGCGCCTTCTCGTGGTCGTGGATTAAAAACAAAAGTCTTTTTGAATAAAGGAAACCGTGTTCTCTCCTGTGAACCTTACGCTTTCGTTTCAAGAAGCGAAATGCGTGGAAAAATATGTGATAGTTGCTTGTCAATGGGCGATAATTTACAGCGTTGCTCGGCGTGTAAAATGGTTTACTATTGCAGCCAAACGTGTCAGAAAAAAGCTTGGGGAACGCATAAACTGGAGTGTAAAAACCTTAAGAAAATGTCTCCTATTATGCCTAGCGATACAGTACGGCTATTAGCGCTGTTATTGTTGAAAAATGATCCCGCAAAATGGCTTAGCGATTTAGTTAGCCATTCTGAACAAATACGAAAGGAGAAGAGCGATGTGTTTGCTTTTATGTTCGAAATGTTAAACAAGTACTTAGGTGTTAGTATGCAGTCGAGCAGTGAAAGAGTATTTGAGTTATTTTGCAAAGTTAATTGTAATGCCTTTACAATTTGCGACGGAGAATTGAAACCAATAGGTAGATATATATTTTAGTTTGCTATTCATTTTATTTTGGCTTCGCATACGCAAGCACTGTTTCCTTAATATTTCTTTGCTGATAACTATGAAAAGTACTCACAGGCATTTTATATAGTTGTGCATAAAAGCTACCGTTGTTTGTGTCTCAACTACCTGAAAAAGATATCTCAAACGTAGTGGTCCAGTGTAGGTAGTATTCTACAAAAAGCTGTCGTGGTTTGTGTCTGACTACTTGGAAAAGATATCTCAAACATGGTGGTCTAGTGTATGTAGTATTCTACAATAAGCTGTCGTGGTTTGTGTCTGACTACTTGGAAAAGATATCTCAAACATGGTGGTCCAGTGTAGGCAGTATTCTAGAATAAGCTGCTGTGGTTTGTGTCTGAACTACACACGTAAAAATCTCACAACTTGTCAACAAGATGTGTTCGCAACAGGCTTGTAGCAAGCTTGTCAACAAGTTGTAACAATGCTGTTATTTTATTAAGTTACTACAAGGTTGTCACTCACAACTTGTTGACAAATTGATGAATTGCAGGACGATAACAAGTTGTTGGAACAACTTGTAACAAGTCTGTTGAGCTCAACAACCTTGTAGCAAGATGTCAACAAGCTGGGAACAAGCAGTGCGAACACATCCTGTTGACAAGTTGTCAGAACAGCATTGCTACAAGTCTGCTACAGGTTTGTTACAACTTGTGCGTTTTTACGTGTGTACGTGTGGAAAATCTGCGATTTCGTTTGTTTTAGGTCTCGGGCTATACCAGACTCTCGCATTCTTAAATCACTCATGTGAACCAAACTGTATTGCTGTGTTTAACGGTCCAACGTGTCACATACGAAGCATGAAAAATGTGGAGGAAGGGCAAGAGCTGTGCATAGCTTATACCGAGTTGATGAGACCACAAAGCGTCCGGCAGAAAGAACTGAAGGAACAGTATTATTTTGATTGCAAATGTTCTCGATGTCTGAATGAAATCGAACATGGATCCGAAATGAACGGCTTGAAATGCGCAAAGAACGAATGCTCAAATGCTGTTGGTTTTTATTCAGGTTAGGGACTGGTCATTATTTATGGTGGGGGGTGGCACCAAAAGATACCACAATTTCGAGATAATTTTGAGATAAAATTTTATAGCTTGGTTTCACTCGCGTGAGTTTCACTCACAGCATTACAATATAGAATTACTTCAATTATATAGGCATTTCACAAGATGAAACCTGTTCAGAATGTGGCTCCGATGTGCCAAACAATTACACTTCCCCAAGTATAACCAAACTTTACAAAAAGATCGAATCTACATTATCAACTGTCAACCAAATGACGCTCTACTCAGAAAAACGTACCGAAGCGCTACGTATATGCGAGGAGCTATTGAGCGAAGTGGAGAACATATTACATGCTCAGAATTTTCAAGTCATTAAGATAGTTGACAAAATTTCTGATGTCTGCATCGAGATGGAGTTGTGGAACAAAGCGATTCATTACTGCAAGAGATCGCTTGGTGGTTATCTGAAATTTTACCCCAAGTACCATCCCAGTACAGCGATTCAACTCTACAGAATTGGTAGGTATATTGAGAGTGACCCGATTTACACAACAGACTAATGCTAAATGTGGAAGGGTATTTTTTTATCATCAGGAACCCATTGTGAACCCTTGTTGATAGTGTATATTTTATATTGCTAACCACAGACTGTATATTTTTCTATAGGAAAGCTGCAGGTATATTTGGAGAAGTTAGATGCTGGGATTTCTTCGTTATCTCAAGCGCGGTCACTACTGGAAATCTGTTATGGCAAGCAACATTCTTTAACCATACAACTCAATGAACTCATATCACAAACAGTCCAAGACATGTATGGACAACAAAACCTCTCAATGTTAGAGCAATGAAGCGCAATTTATTGTCAATACTACTAAAACTATTCTACAATCTATTTACAATGTGGTGACTAATTACAGCTGTTGTACGTACCGGATAGCCAATTCCGTAGCGACGTAAAAAAAAACACCTATACGTAATTTTAGGAACGTTATTTTCAGATTAATTATTGCAACGGAGAGATGTTGTTTCGCTCAGCTTCTAAAAGTTGTACATTCCGTATCGGATAGGTGCTTTTTCGCGCCACTACGAAAAGCTATCCGGTATTCTTGGGTTTCATATGAGGTCACAGAAGTGACGGGAGGTCAACTCTAAAACAAAACACAGTTATCAGAGTGAGTCGATTGTTCGTTTTATGTATAGCCTTGTGTTTGGTGGCAAATACATGGAATTTCGTATCATTTTCTCACTCCAGTACAGCATAAGCATCAATACATTTGAGGCTGACCCTTCGTCAGCGGATTCACTGCATAATGCCTTAGTGAAACCCAAGAATAGTGTAAACGCGGCCTAAATTCCACTATTACCTACCCGGAAATGGTAAAAGCATTTTAAAGTTTCGAGCAAACGAAGATGTTTTCTTCATCGGGGGGCGGTTGTATAAAAAGGTAGTTGGAGTTAAGCCTGGTTCACAGTATCAAAGTTTCTGTGATCACAGTAGGAATTTTGCATGGGTAAATTCTAAGTTTTGAAAGATTTGTAAGAAATGTTTGAGGAAACTGACTTAGTGTTAAACACTGAGTCAGTTCCCTCAAATATTTCTTACAAATCCTTCAAAACTTAGAATTTACCAAGTCAAAATTCCTACTGTGATCACAGAAACTTTGATAGTGTCAACCAGACTTTGGCTACAGTTAGTGCGATCAATCAAAATCATGTATTTTAGAGTTAACCACAATTTAACTACAAAATACTGGTTACAATGTAGTTAAGAGTTTTGTACAACCGGCCCCCGGATGGGAGATTAGTACATGATTCCAGTAAATACTAATACAGCTAATTCAATTGAAGTTTGCCCCTGAATGTCAAAACTCACTTTGAGTTTTTATTTTGAAAGGACAACCAAACAACCTCAATTGCGTTCGGTTGAAACTTCGAAGTGTGTTGAACATTTTCAGGTCAGCTTGTAAACTTTGTATTTAAGGGAAACATAAACTTGCAAGCAAAAATCGTGAACAAGCTTGATCGTTTGTAAATTCTTTGGAACAAGCGTCTGCATTTAACATCTACATATAATTACCGCTACAAATTGACAATTTTCATTATTAACATTGCTGAAATTTTGTTCTTATAGAGACTTAGTCTTTACGAGAGCCACACTGCTACGGCTAGCATAGTTGTGGCAAGATATGAGAATGAAGACAATTGAGTACCTGTAAAAAAAAGAATAAAGGCGTTGTTATGACAAAACTCAGGCAATCTCGTAGACTCGTACCTAGTGTTATATCTGAATTCAAAAGGTTGCTCTATGTAGTTTTAGTTGTGAGAGCAGCGTGTTTTACTTACCCTTGCAAGCGCATTCTGTAACATTCCCACAACTTCTTCCTTGCGGTTTCACGTTACACAACTGATGAGAATAAGATACGGACATGCTGCCGATCATGCATGCAGCAGGTGTCCTGAAAATCTGACCTCCAGCACAACACATCATATTACAGTTCTCAGGATATTTCCACTCAGAACATGTACAGTTTCCAGGTGGCTCTGGAGAATGAAAAATATCTCTTGTCATTATATGCAACAGCCATATACCCATAGTTAATAGATAGTTTGGAAACTCATTAGAATAACAATATAACTCATTATCTATGTTAGTCAACGTTTATTCATAAACATGGTCGTTCACCGTCACGTGTGTATTGTGTTCTTGCCAAATCCACCAATAGCAAATTTTCAATCATTTTACCCTATTGTTCAAGTCACGGATAGGTAACTTTCCAAAGACATTGCTATTGGTTAGTTGGGCAAAAATACAATACACATGTGACGGTGAAAGACCAGATTTATGAATAAACATTGACTAACATAGATAATGAGCTATATTGTTATTCTAATGAGTTTCCAAACCATCTATTCTATTAACTATGATATATCAGAGTTAGAAAAAAGCTGCGGGTACCGCCCGCGAGGAAGGTTTACCATATGCGAGGGCAATTGGGTAAGGTTTAATGTGCAACACTCTACTTCACATACACATCTATGGTAGCAGTCGGCAGCCTGCAGTGTTTGTCGTCTGTATGTGAGAACAATATTGCCCTATATGAATTCGAAAGCAGGAGACCAGAATACCTGGAGAAAACCTATGGTGTTAGATAGAGCAATACAAAATTATGAAAATAACAAGCTCTCATTGGTAGGGATGCAACAACCTGAAAAATAGAAGGAGAATTTCGAGGTTTCGAGTGAAGGCCCTTCGTCGGAATAGATAGACTAGTATTATACTAGATTAGTATAAAAGCTCATGTAATTTTCCCACCCCCCGCGCGGTTCCTATCCTTCTATTTTTCAGGTAGTTGCATATGTTACTATTCAAATGTAAAAAGCATTTATAATATAACCACTCAGCACAGCATTTTCAAAAAGCATCTATATGCTTATATGTAAATTTATATTGTCCTACTGTTAGAGCTTTAGCAATGCCTTACAATAAGGTCATGCTTATAAAGCCAAATAAAGCAAGCAAGCATCCCTACCAATGAGAGCTTGTTATTATTGGCACTACCAACACTGGCAAAGACAGTTCAAGATTATAAAACTAACTGTCTTCTACTTACCAGAGGTGCTGCTGGTCATGGATTCTGTCTTTGATGGTTTGGGAGTTATTTGCGAACTCCAATGAGAGGATCCGACCACGACTTGTGTTTTCGAAGACCATAGAGTGACATTGCCTGAAGTCGTTCTTACCATATTACTCGAAAGTGATGTTATCACAGAAAGCGATGTCATCCCAGATGACGTCATTTTTGTTGCCGTGGTATCTGATGGCTTCCTTGATGAGACGGATGACGTCATCACAGGTGTCGAGGTTTTAGTTGGTTGCCATGACGATTTGGATGACGTCATCGTTGCCATTATCTTCGTTGAATCGGGCTTTACCGTTGATGTTATCGTGTGTGACGCAACCGGGTGTGACGTCGTCATTGTTGACGCAATCATGGATGACGTCATTACATACGTCATCTCGGAGTTCCCCGCCATTTGTTTCGACGTGGTTGCCATGGGGATTATTGTAGTGGAAAGACTTGCTTGGATTTTTAATGAGTTTTGTGAGATTTTACTTGCTGCGCTGGACAATTTATCTTGGGATGATGATGATGGCGGGTTTGTTACACGAGTGTTTTTTGGCGAGGAATTTGTCATGAGGGAAGGTGTTGAACTGGTTTCGTCTTTCATGTTTGTTGATGTTGCTGATGCTGTTGCTGTTGTTGTTGCTGCTGCCGCTGCTGTTGTTGCTGTCGTCGCTGTTTTTGTTGTTGGTGACGGTGTGGTTGCTGTTTCTTCCTTTGTTGAAATTTTTCCATGCATGCTGACGGTTTTGCCCGAAGTTTTCATCTCTTCAGTGTGTTTTTTTGTATTGCCGTTTTCTTGTTTCCTTGATGTTCCCTTGTTCCGTGAGCCTGGCGATCTTTCTCCTGGCGATTTTTCTCCGGGCGAGACTACGGAGCTGGACGTCATCATCGTTTGGCTTCGTGTGACCGAACTTAGGTTTGGCATTGTAGAAGTCTTCTTGGTTGTAGCTGGAGGAAGGGAGGCGGTACTACCCACGGAAGATGAAATATCGGGGGAAGAGGAAACACCAAAGGAATCGTTGTAGGTGGTTGATTCACCAGTGTATGGGGAGGAAGAGGGTTTGTGGGGGTTGACTGTTGTAGGTGGGGTGTTAGACCAATATTTTTGTCCGTCAATTTGAGATGTAGTGTTGATCTGGCTGGAAATGTTGGGGAAAGGGGTGAAACCAGAGGTATTGTGGGTGGTTAATTCACCACTGTATGGGGATGGAGAGGGTGTGTGAGAGGTGTTAGACCAAGATTCTTGTCCATCAACAGTTTCAGTTTGAGATGTGGTGTTGATTTGGCTGGAAGATGTTTTAAGCGCAGGCGTGGTAGCAGTAGGTTTTCCATTACCTCCAGGGTCTGGCCCTGAACCTCTGGAAGACGAATCTTTCTGAGCGGGAGAATCGATAACTTCACTGGATGATGATTTCGTTGTGGAGATAGAGTAACTTTTAGTTCCATTAAAGTCAGTTGTTACAGTAAAATTGTTATGCGCCACAGTTGTGGAGTTAGTTGAGAAAAAATCTGTAGCAGTTGGAAAATTCGTTGCCAAAGATGTGTTGAACAGCACTGTGGAATTAACTCTTCCCGCTGTTGAATTTGTTGTTATCGATGGCATTTGGCGAGTGGGCTTATTTAGGGTCTTGTTTTGGTTATACGTTTGGTTATACGTTTGGTTATACGTTGGCCCCCAGTCAGGGTATGTCGAATTTTGACCTCGCGATGAATGAAACATCAGCAAAAGGACAACAAGTAAAATGCTTTTCATCTGAAAACAATTCAACATAAAGTTTGTTTGGCACTTAAATATTCGCCAAAAAATAACTGAGCCAACTAAATAATAGGTCCATTTATACGTGACAAAATAAGTCGCGACTTACATAAGACGCGACTTAAATAAGTGGAGTTATCGCATAAATGGTTCTCTACGGCTTTGGTCTTATTTATTTGCTATAGCTATAATGTTGTTTTGGTTGTTTTTGTTTTAATATAGATCGCATTAAATTTTACGTTGTTTCAAGTTTCTGGCATGTGTAGTTAGACTTTTTGTCCAAAATTTCTTATTTAAGACGCGACTTAAATAAGAACAGCTAAAAGACCTGTTCTTATGTAAGACGCGTCTTATCCAAGACGCGTCTTACATAAGAATTTTGTACCTTTTATACGACAAACTCGCGTCTTACTTAAGTCGCGTCTTATGTAAGTCGCGTCTTATTTTGTTCCGTATAAATGGCCCTATTGTTGAGAAATGAGAGTTTACCTCAGTCGGCTCTTCAAATTTTAAGTGGCGGCAATGGTATATAAACTTGCTTTATTAAACGTACTAATTTAGAGTTTTTCATATGTGCCACCAGTAAAGATAACCTTGTCAATTTTTCAATTTTTAGATAAAGTTTTTCACAAAGTCCATGAAAAAAATTGGCGAAACTAGGAATCTAAAAACAATTTAATACCGAGTACTTTTCAATATTGACTCAAACACTGCAGTAAAATTATGTCTCCTTTTGAGCAATTTTCAAATGTTTATTCAACTACATATGCAGCAGATGGCAAAAAACAAATTAAATATGGCCCATTCACTCAAAGAAATATTGCGTGAATTGAGAATTTTGCAGCAAAAGCACAAAATATACTATTATATCTTCACGTTAAAATGTGCCATTATATTTTAGGGCAATTCAGAGGGTCTATTTCATTTTAAAGCAATTTAAAGCGATTAAAATTTTTGATTATGCACATACATATATACTGACTCAAGTAACGCACTAATTTATATAATATTCTTTTACATTTCTTGTCCGTAATTTGTTAAATAATGGATAAAACGCTAGCGCTTTAGAAATAAAAACTAACTTAGTTAAGTATTTAACACTTTTTTGCATTTTCTCGTAATTTCAAAGGCTTGGAGAATTATTACGGATAATGCTTCCGGGAGCCCAATTTAAACCAAATTACCCAAGATAAAATAATTTGTAGAATTTCTAACTTACCTTTGTACCGGTTCAAACTTCTTACTTTTTGCCCGGCAAGGCAAGGCAAGGGAAGTTGTGAGTTGACTTTTATTAAGGCGTGAGGCACTTTTAACACTTGATACTATCGCAAACTCTCGTATTAATTTGCCGATTGATCCTGTGCCGTCGGCATATTGTGTTCTCCTCATATAATGCGTCAAGCACTGTTGCTAAGGCAACATAACAAAAAATATTGGTAAAATGAGAAACGTATACATGTAGGCAGCTTTTGAGAGGCTTGCAAAGGGATTATGACCGACAGGCGACATTCCTTAAAAAGAGGCGACAGACTATCTAAAAAAGAGCAACAAAGGACAGCTTTCGACTGGGGAAAAGCGACAATTTGTGTTATGGGTCAAAAGGGACAAACTGCTACAAAACGAGTGACAAGCAACAGAGTTACACCCTTGGTGGGCCTCTTTTAAAACTGGTGGCCAAACATCAAGATTTTTATGAACGGTGCTTAATATATATTGATTTCCAATGTTGCACTTTGCATCGGATTTGCTTCTATTTAAAAATAGTAACTAGCACTTGAATGAAAATCATCTTTCTCATAATAAGTGCGAGCTGTCTATCAAAGCCTGATATTATATAAGCAAAGCAAACATTATAAAGTCTGTACAATTAAATAAAACGCGCGCGCGTGTACAAGGCAATTATTGCCGTAGAAGCAGATGTATTTTCCCCGAAAATACGTGAACGATAAATTATGCAGATGGATTAATGGCTTTACGCAGTTAAGGGCTTTATAAAATACTCGGCTGTCACCTTATGTCTTATATCTGATAAACCCCTATGCACGTGTTTGAAGCCGTTTAATAATTAATTAATAAACTCGCAGGTCGTGTTTTTTTAGGTCTAAAGCCACTCGCGCTGCGCGCTCGTGGCTTTAAACCTAATAAAACATTCCTGCTAGTTTATTAAACAAATTATTATTATTAAGAATTTTTTGTCATCCGTCTGCTTGTGTTGGATTTTTTTGCGGAATTTTAAAGGTATTTAAAATCGTTTTCCTTTGTGCGAATTTTTTTTTGTCCCCCCATCCATCCATCACTTTGCTTATGATCCGCCCCTAAGTCTGAATATACATTATTTTTTTTAAAGTAATGTATACCATCCAATATTTAATAATTATTCGCCGAAGGCGAGGTGATTATCGGGGAATATTCGCCGAGACGAAGTCGAGGTGAATATTCCTCGATAATCACCGAGCCTGAGGCGAATAATTGTTTTAGTGTTTTTGCACAAGTTTTTTTGTGTTTTTCTGGTCTGAATTCATTTTGAAAATTTCGATTTTATTATATTCACCTGTATAGGTGAATATAACAGATTAATACGTCAAATTTGACCAATCACCTTGTAAGATTTGTTATGTTAATACAATTTAAAAGCTGCGTCATTTTGAGACTTTGAGTTAAAAGCCTGGAAAAAGTAAAACAATATTTTCAATGATTAATGGTCTCGTTCAGTCCTAATATCATTGAGTTTTTCATGCATTAAATAATTATCACGGCAGTGAAACAATATAGGCAATGTCAAGCGTAAGTAATTCTTGTCTAAAAGCCTGCAAAATATCGTCTTTAATTTTATACAATAAATTATGCAGTGACAAAAATGACAGCTATATTTATATTCTTATGTTTATATAGGCCTGAATATAAGATTACATTAACCAGTCAGAGTGATTTCCTAGTTAACACATTATAGCGAGTTACTTTTGGATTAAAAGGCACTTTACTGTAATACATTAAGGCCGCGTTTACACTATACGACAAGTTTGCCGTAGCGTAGTGATTTGCATCCGGAGTGCCAAACGTATAGTGGTCCGTACTTACTGTAATACGCTACGGCAAACCACTCCGTATAGTGTAAACACTATAGTCATAAACGTAGTGATTTTTAACGGAGCGCCAGCGTAGCGTATTAGTGTAAGTGTAACGGTACCTTAATACGCTACGGCAGGCCTTAAAATATCTTTTCCAGGGCCGTCTGACAAAATGTCCGGTGACGTTGAGTTTGGGTCGGACATACGTCCGAGGAACTTCAGTTCATTTTTGACTCGGAAATAAGTCTGAATGACACAAATGAATAAACGGTAAATGTTGTTACAGTAAAGATATTAAATAATTTGTTTCTTTCACACTTATTTCCAAGCCAAAATTAACTTGCTTGCCAGAACAGCAGTGTCAAAAAGACTTCGACAACTTAAGCCCGTTTTCCACTTCACCATTTCGCTCGCCGCCCCGCGCTCGACTACGTTAAAACAACATTTCCAGTTGACCTTTTATACAATAGTACTCTGATTTTCCATTTAACATACAAGTCTGCCTCTAGTCCTGGCCTATAGGGTACATTTTGATTTACGTTGGACAAAGCTACAGTTCGGTCGGACACCAATACACTCGGGTCGGACAAACACTAATAAACCTCAATTTCACGAATGGGTCGGACAATGTCCGTGACCGACCGATATTTTAAGGCCTGTACGGCAAACTACTCCGTTATAGTGTAAACACAATACTATAAACGTAGAGATTTTTTAACGGAGTGCTAACCGAAGCGTTATAGTGTAAACGCGGCCTAAGTGATTAATATACAATAATTAGTTTGATGCGTGTTTAATGCAAACTTTTGCAAAGTTTCAAAGTCGTTTTCGAATGGCGTCCTTTTATAATGACGTCAGTTTCAAACGACCTCATTCTTACGCCTGACAGGTTTGGGACAATATACTGAAATTAATGTTCTGTTTTTTTTTTTTTATTTCATTCTATCAGCTTTATTGAACACAAAGTTAGCAAATGGGAATTTGAGACCCATGCAAGGCACAGCCCCTAAATAAAATTATGTGACTATATAGTCATAGATTACAAAACAAAAACACACTATATACAGTAAATACACTGTATACATAATACAGATTAGCAGCTGAAGATACCAGTCATTTCACCAGCAAAACAACATACAGAACCTTTTTTTAGCAAAGACTCGTATTCAAATATTTTATTGGCAGGTTTTTAACAGTCAAAGAAAATTTGAAATTATTTAAGATTTTAAAAATTATTCGTTGATTTTAACTAGAGAGTCTTTGATTGTGAATGATCATAATTCAATATATTATTTCACAATTAATAACATTACACTTATAATCTAGCCTAGAGATTTTGTAAAATTGAGTCACACTATGTATAATTATTTTTGACTTAGTAGAAAAAACTGTTCAAAGCAGTTTAACTCCGGCTTGATGTCACATTATCAAAATCACGCATGCACTTATGTGAAAATTCATCAAAAATGTTTAAAAATACAATGTACTACCTTTTTACAGTTCACTACATTAACTCGAAAGTTCATTGGTCAAAAATCGTCCATGCATGAATACCACACTTTCTTGGCACAGGAAAAAATTTAAATTTCCATTAATGGGTTTCTGAATGGTTTTTAAAGAAGCACCATGTACTATCAATGTAAAAACTGAAATCTTATCATTATTGGTTATTATAGATTTCTCATATGATAAATTGGTAAAAAGCATGATTTTAATGTTTACCATTTAAGGTATTTTCCTGTGCACAGGAAAATACCATTAATGGTAAGTATTAAACATGATGGATTTTACAAATTTACCATATACGGGGAATTTGTAATAACCATTCAAAAAATCATTAATAATTCATGAGGAAAACACAAAGAAAAATCATAAGCGTGTCGTATCTTTTGTGATAGAGATTTCCCTTGATTTACATAAACTTTAAATTAACTTTGATTTTATCGACTTACAGAACATATTTTTTGAAAATTACTTCGTCAATGAACCTACTAGATCGATCGTTTTTAAAGCAATTTAAAACATTCGCAGGGCGTGTTTTATCAGACCTAAAGAAACTCGTCTTCGTCTCGTATCTTTATATCTGATAAAACAGAGCTGTTCATGTTTTAAATAGTACAGTACATAATGATATGAGTTCAGATCTTACATTCACAAACTCATTAATGGAAATTTTATTTTTTTCCCTGTGTTGAAAGTAAATTTTTAGGAAGGGCAAGAATTTTGTGAAAGTGTAGTAATTCATGAAGGTTGTAGTTCATTTTATATATACACTACAGTTAAATTATTTGTAGACTTACGGACCAGTTCGACAGTGAAGACAATATACCATTGCTTGACCACCATGCATACTGTGGTTAGTGTACCACCAGCTAGTCACCATCAGTCATCTGCAAGAACTGTGCATAAGCGTCTCTCGTACATTCCCCTTTTGTGTTGAACGCGAATTTGTAATAACTGCCATCCGCACAGATAGCTGTAAGAGGTAGAATCGTGCGTGAGTGATTGTAAGGGGGTGGGGGCGAAACTATGTGTGGTGGGGGGTGACACCCCCTCCCAGTCTCTATCTCGTCGGGTATATCCATACAATTTTGTCCGGCAAATTTTGAAAATATTTGAGTGTCTCGGATTGAAAAGTAATAGTTGTAGGAAAAATTTAAATAAATTTACAAAATATTACTGAAAAATTAGACAATTACGTCTGATTATGCTCATGTCTGATTATGCTCATGTCTGATTTCAGTATTCTCTTGTGCGCCTATGTTTGGAGATTTCCATCCACAAAATCCCTTCATTTTGTTCTATCAAGTGAGGTGCCCAAAATTTAGGGGCCATACCTGGAATCTACTTTTGGCAAAGCTATTCAGTAACAGGGCTTGATATACAATTCCCAAATTTCCCTAACATGGTGATTAGCAGTCATGAGTTTCCCTACTCCTTCTCATTGAAAATCGTGTTTTTCTGTCGATCATAAACGTGTTTTTTTTTGCTGATATTGATCGGCTGATATTTCAAGCCCTGCAATAAGAAGTTGTTTCAGTCACATTTCCTCTGCGAGCTTTGGTTCTTCCTGTAGTAAGATTGGATCAATAAAAATCCTTACGTGACTTACCTATATATGGACCTAATATACTAACTTACCTATAACAGTATTCTTGTCATTGCCAAAAGCACAGATGCACGGCGCTCCCTCAGGAACACGAAACCGCGAGAAACTCCAGGTTGAATTAAAATATTTTAATGGACGGAAACCACTGTAGCAAATAAAGAAAAGAGATATAAGGCTATAAGCTGCCGAATTTAGAACAAGAGCACCATTTAACAATTAGACAACGAGGCCGAGTTGTCTATGAGCGAATAGTCAACGAGGCGAAGCCGAGTTGACTATTTGCTCATAGACAACGAGGCCGAGTTGTCTAATTGTTTTAGTATAAACTTTAACATTAATTTACAACTAGGCTGCAAACACAATACAAAAATACACAAAAAACATTATAAAACCATTAAAGGTAAACAAATATTTTAGTTGTTGTTCGCGTAAAATGTTTTACAAAATTCAGTTTTAATTTTAAAATTTCATTGAGTGTATGTTATTTCGTCTATTTTCTTACCCTTAAAAATTGCCATTCCGTATTTTTGTTGCTTTTTTCGGGGTTTTTTTAGTACAGAATTGTTCAACAAGTCGTCCAAAAAATCATCAGACACTTCGGCAAAAGTGCAAAACGCGAATTTTCCGCGATTTTGAATTTTCTATTAGTAGGCTATCACTAATAGCCTACTAGTAGCGTAGCCAATCAGAAGGCACGATATGTGATAGCCTACTAGTAGGTTTATACTAATACTCATTAGGCAGCCTGTTCGCATTCAATTACCTTGACTGTTTAGATTTCTTAGTGTCCTCAACTTCAAAGATATGTACAGTCCAGTGATCACTTGATACACACAGTAACGATGAATCGTGGTTAAAATTTATACTGCAAAATTAAAAACATGTATTGGGGCCTTTGTTATTGCAACAACTTCCTGGAAATCAACAATTTGTTGACAAAAGCGAGATTTACATAACCAGCGTATGCTACAGTTTATTGCATAGAAGCATGAGTTCCGAGCCAAAAATACAGTGGATTTTATATTGTACAATTTTATTTTACCTGAATATATTGGCATTTCCAGAGCCTCTTCTGAGTTCATTGAGCAGTTCACCAGTTCCGACGTCAAAAACGCGAATCAGCGTTCCCTAAAACAATTACATTACAATATTTTATATGCATTATTTACCAAGCTTTTAATTAAATGAGTTATTAGTAATGAAGGTATAAAGTCCACAAAGAAGGGTGTATACTAATTTCCCAATGAAGGGCCTTCGCTTGAAGCATCTTAGAAGTTTTACTTATTTGTATTTTTAACATAGTTAAATCCTTCTCAATCCCGTATGTTTCACGTTTTCTGGTATTGCTATGCTGACACAAACTGTTCGAAGGTATAAACTAACATGTATGTTGCCACTTGAAAAGGGCGTTTTTGCCATTTGAAAAGGGTGTTTTGTCATTTGAAAAGGAAGTTTTGCCATTTGAAAAGGGTGTTCTGCCATTTGAAAAGGAAGTTTTGCCATTTGAAAAGGGAGTTTTGCCATTTGAAAAGGGTGTTTTGCCATTTGAAAAGGAAGTTTTGCCATTTGAAAAGGGTGTTCTGCCATTTGAAAAGGAGTTTTACCATTTGAAAAGGAGTTCTGCCATTCGAAAAGGAGTTCTGCCATTTGAAAAGGAGTTTTGCCATTTGAAAAGGGAGTTCTGCCACTTGAAAAAGGAGTTTGACCATTTGAAAAGGGAGTTTTGCCATTTGAAAAGGGTGTTTTGCCATTTGAAAAGGGTGTTCTGCCATTTGAAAAGGGTGTTCTGTCATTTGAAAAGGGAGTTCTGCCATTTGAAAAGGGAGATTTACCATTTGAAAAGGGAGTTTTGCCATTTGAAAAGGGAGATTTACCATTTGAAAAGGGAGTTTTGCCATTTGAAAAGGGAGTTTTGCCATTTGAAAAGAGTGCTGTGCGCCGGAGTTGCCGGAGCCGGAGTTCTGCCGGAGCTCCGGCGGTTTTTCCGACGCCGGAGCCGGAGCAGAATTTTGTATGCCGGAGCCCGGAGGGAGTTTTGCCATTTGAAATAGTGCTGTGCGCCGGAGTTGCCGGAGCCGGAGTTCTGCCGGAGCTCCGGCGGTTTTTCCGACGCCGGAGCCGGAGCAGAATTTTGTATGCCGGAGCCCGGAGCCGGAGTTACGTATTCCCGGCTCCGGCAAAATGACAAGAAAACAATATGAAATGAGACAAATGTCAAACGATTGTTAGTTACTGCAAATTGCCAATTGCTGTTAATGAATTCATCGTAGACTCAAACTGCCACAGCCCACAGGAACAGCGTCGAAAAGCTGTAATACGATCGCAACTTACAAACGTCATGCTTTCATGAAGCCATCTGACTTACCGCTACATACTGTAGTCTGTGTATTCATGCCTTGTAGATAACGAAAAAGTACAAAACAAATAAATATCTACCTTTTGAAAATGGCAGAGTACTTTGTTTGCGTGCGAACAATTGCGCTGTGGAGTCCGAGAGTGTTAGCGTCATGCCTCGTGTCAAAGATTTTTCGAGGCTGGTTTCCATATAGATATTTTCTGCGTGGTTAAGTCTTAAGTGTTTTCACTGTTTTGTTTCCTGAATTATGTTATCTGATAATTAGGAAGCGCGAAAAGGGTTATTCCTAATAATATTAATAAATGTTCTCTGATCGTAAAATATTTATTTAATATTTTATGATGTGGCCGGAGCCGGAGCTCAGAGCTGTAATTCGGCCGGAGCCGGAGCCGGAGATAAAAACCGGAGTTTGCACAGCACTCCGGAGATAAAAACCGGAGTTTGCACAGCACTAATTTGAAAGGGGAGTTTTGCCATTTGAAAAGGGAGTTTTGCCATTTGAAAAGGGTGTTTTTGCCATTTGAAAAGGGTGTTTTGTCATTTGAAAAGGAAGTTTTGCCATTTGAAAAGGGTGTTTTGCTATTTGAAAAGGGAATTTTGCCATTTGAAAAGGGTGTTTTGCCATTTGAAAAGGGAGTTTTGCCATTTGAAAAGGAAGTTTTGCCATTTGAAAAAGGAGTTTTGCCATTTGAAAAGGGTGTTTTGCCATTTGAAAAGGAAGTTTTGCCATTTGAAAAGGGTGTTTTGCCATTTGAAAAGGGAGTTTTGCCATTTGAAAAGGAAGTTTTGCCATTTGAAAAGGGAGTTCTGCCATTTGAAAAAGGAGTTTTGCCATTTGAAAAGGGAGTTTTGCCATTTGAAAAGGAAGTTTTGCCATTTGAAAAGGGAGTTCTGCCATTTGAAAAAGGAGTTTTGCCATTTGAAAAGGGAGTTTTGCCATTTGAAAAAGGAGTTTTGCCATTTGAAAAGAGTGTTCTGCCATTTGAAAAAGGAGTTTTGCCATTTGAAAAGGGTTCTGCCATTTCAGGCAAACAACAGCAACTTCAGAAAAGAGTGTTCTGCCATTTCTATGTGTCTACATAACAACAACTAAGGCAATACCGTTTCCGATGCCGTGGCTAATCTTGTAAAAGAGTGTTCTGCCATTTCCATGTGTCTACATAACAACAACTAAGGCAATACCGTTTCCGATGCCGTGGCTAATCTTGTGCCTTGTAAATTTAAGCAGATGCATGCCAAATGTCCTTCATGAGCCGAGATATCAAGAGGTGCCCGTTCAGTATTTGCAAGATCCACAATCTGGACGTGACCGGTTCTTCTCGCGGGGAACGCCAGCAGAGAGTTATTACTGCTGGGACAAAGAACACACAGACCTATAATAAGGTAAAGTACAGTTTAATTATATACAGTACGTGTTTATTAGGTTTACTATCAAGAATAACAAAAATGTATTGTTAATTTGGTGATAAATATTTAGTCTACCATTAGATACACTGTAGTATTGCAGTAGAATGAACAATTATTAATTAAATACTAACGAATCATTTACCAGCACAGCACTTGTGGTGTTGTGATCACCATGCTTGCGTTTCAACCTGGGTTCAATCCTTTGTCGGACCTCTACTCAAGGTCTTCAAATAATTGAGGAGAAAATGCTACCTTTACATTGAGATTAGTAAATGATTTTCGCGTCTTCTCGGGTAAGGACGTTTAAATCGTAGGTATATCAGATCCCCTATCAATTAGTCTTTCTCACAATGACGAATGTCCGCCATTTTTGGGTGGCATCTAATTCTTGTTAAGGCGTAAAAAAAATACCTGTGGTTCCGGTTTCATATCGTGAAAAAATTAGGGTCGGTAGGTCGGAAATAAATTTTCTTTGGAATATTTTTTTCATGGTTTTGGCGGGTTTTTGCTGGGCGATTTGCAGTAGAGTCCCGACATCAATATTAACTAGAGATGCATATTTCCTATGGACGGATTTAGGCAATTTGGTTCAATATTTAGTGTGACAACAGACGCCATTTTGGCACGCTGTATGGGCAGCCCGCAACCACCTGGAGAAAATAGGGTCGGTAGGTCAATTGCGTTGAAAAAATAATAGGGTCAGCAGAAAAAAATAGGGTCGGTCGGGAACTGGAACCACAGGTATTTTATTTTACGCCTTAATCAATGCAGACAATTAAAACAATGTGAAAAGCGATTTTTCAAAATAACCTAGCCATTTACAAAGCAAATTTACCATCATTCGTCCAAAAAATGATAAAAAGTCGCTGTTATATGGACTTATCTTGCAGACTTCGGCTGAAAAGCCACCCAAAAATGGCGGCATGAGAAAGGCCAATTGGTCAATAGCCTGTTGTAAAATCCGCTCACCAATGATTGAGAAACTGGATAAACTGAATCTCTAATGAGAGGACAACCTCCTATAAGTGAACACCACGATTCAGTTCTGAGGGTGTCTGCTTACAGGAGGTACGACGGTTTCCAGCCATTATTTAATCTGAGAATACCTTTAGCATTTGGCGACGTTTCAAAGACATGAAGTTGCTGTGGATTTTGTGTGAATGTAAAAACTTTGATTATTGTGTCGAGAACAACTACAATCCTACAACACAAAGTAATATAACAATCAGAATATGTCGTCTGTTATTCACTGTATCCTTAGTTTGTGTGTGTGTGTGTGTACTTACCTGTCTCTGCGAAGCTTCACAGCACGGACATCACTGGAAAACTCCAGCTGAATAACAATAGACTTCTTTAGGTCATCCCAAATCAAAACTAAAAGGTACACAATTTACTTAATAACTTCAATAAAAAGTAGATAAGTGTTTATTTTCACATATTGTTATCAAAATGTGTCAAAAATTATTAATCAAAATGAAATAAATATAGATTATAGTAGATCGAGTGTACCGGTACCTTTATTTGGAGTGTATTTGGGATTTTTTCCACCCCCTACTAAAGCAACATAATTACATCTGAAGAGCATCTCCACAAACGCGATACCTCCGTCCACAAAATCTGAGAAAAGAAAACTGTTTTAATACAAATCATAGATATCCTAGTTAACCCTTTAACCCATTGAGTGGCAGCACTCTCCCCCTATGAATAAAATCATCTGGCGTTAGACAGAGTAAAATAATAAAGTAAGGCGCATCTGGGCGCATTGCCACTTAAAGGGTTAACAGGGTGCATGGGCAGATAGTCTGATTAACCCATTGAGTGGCAGTACTTTCCCAGACATCTCAACTTTGCAGAGAAGTTAAGAGTGAGATTGAGGATGTGGATGCCATGCACCTTTGTAAACGTCCGGGGGTCTGAAATGGCATGTCATACATCATGAGAGTTGGTGTTTTTTAATGAAATACATTGCTTCATAACATCCTTTAAGACAAGGCTCTCTAATTACAATAACTGTATTTCTGTGACATACAGTAATCAGCTTTAATTTTCCTTTGATAATTTACATATAGAATTCTGCTCGGACTGATTCTGCCTTTTGTCCGCCATATTTACATATGCGTATTATTATTTTGTATCCAAATTGCAGGAAAATTGTCGGGCCGTATATGCAGGCACAAGAACAAGCGATTATATATTCGACTCGCGATCCGTATAATGATTAATAATGTGCATTTAAGAGTACAATATTATATTATTGAAAAAAATACTATGAAACTGCTATATGCGTGAGATTTATTAATTGTGGCGTGAGAGTGAATTGCGTGAGACTCACGCCGAATGCGTGAGAGTTGAGAGGTCTGCTTTCCCCCTGACGAGTAAAATCGTCTGGCATTAGACAAAGTGGCAATGTGCCATGATGCATCCTACTTTATTATTATCACCTCTGTTCAGGGCGCGAAATAACGGCTGGAGGATCGCCGGTCAAGGTGACCGACCAATTCAATTTTAGCTCGGACATACCGAATTTCTGGCCGGTCAAATTATTCAGCTTAAAGCATAGTAAAGTATACCCCTAAAAATGTGACTATTTTCCCAGTATAGCATTACAAAAACTGAGCCTTACTGTAATCAGTAATTAAAAACTCCTTCACATAAAACAACTTGCACACTGCACTAAAACCATGGCCTTAATTAACTCTTTAAGCCAAAAGCATGGTCATGGGCTTTGTGACGTACTGCGTGGGAAAGCTGGCGTACATTGAAGTTCTTTTCCCGTAAAATATTCGACAACATGTTATGGTTCTTAATTATAATGCTTGACAACTTTGTTTTGATTATTAATTCAAATGAAGATCAGTTGTTAGATATTGGACAACATGTTATGGTTCTTAATTATAATGCTTGACAACTTTGTTTTGATTATTAATTCAAATGAAGATCAGTTGTTTGTTTTTTTACCGAAAGTGATCGGTCAAAATGACCGGCAAGGTAAGAATTTGAGCGGACAATTCCGCATTCTGGCCGGACATTGTCCGTTGACCGGCCGTTATTTCACGCCCTGCTGTTTACCATTGGACAAACCAGACAATTTTACTCATCAAGGGGAAAGTGCTGTCACTCAATGGGTTAATCAAACCAATGCATCCCTGTTAACCCTTTAAGTGGCAATGTGTTCTACTTTGTTATCTTACACTGTTTAATGCCAGGCAATTTTACTTGTCAAGGGGAGAGTGCTTCTACTCAATGGGTTAATTAAGCTATTAAGCTGTAATGCAAATATGACAAGCTAATACTTTTTTTTATATTACTCTGCCTCACAATAGACAATTTTACTTGTCAAGGGGAATATTTAGGACAGTAATGTGTTAACCATATCCATCCAGTGAGGATGGAAATTGGCAAAGTGCACACCAAAGATTTCAAAACTTCAAGAATGGCAGAACTGTTTGGTCGAGACCTCGGTTCGGTGATACAATCTTTTCACAGTGTCAGTAAGTTGCAATGCTCCCGGCACCAACTTTGCTAATCTTTTTGTAAGAGTATAATGTCAATATAAATCATTTCCCAAAGTTCTTTGCATGAATTTTTCTGGGGGTATCTACAAACCCCCCCCCACACACACACACACACACGCACACCCTCCAGGGTATCTAATGGTCACCCCCTAACAATACACACAAATATATTAATTAGGTTATTAATTAGTCATTAAAAATATATTACCAATTACTTCAAATAATCACGCATTAAACATAGTAATACTTTTATACCTTGACGCTCTTTCTCCTTCAAAGGATCGCAATTATAAACACGAAAACCATTCTCCATTCCACAGGCGAAACAACCTTGAAACACAAATCCCGATATAAAATACAGTAACTACAACACGAAGCTCACAAATGCCAAAATTCCGAACAGGAGATTATAATTACCACTCCTGAACGTGGCATCTCGCTGTGAAACCTACCTTGGTCTTGGTTAAATCCCGTGTACAACAGGCCATTTCCGAACGAATTTCCTCGTCTTAAGTCCATTCTAACTTTCTGTGAAACATAAGGACTTATTTCTTGGAAAATTTTATAGTTTTATCGAAAATTATTTGAGCCATGAAAATTGTCGTAGTTTGAAAGAGTAAAGTTAAGTTTTTGTGGAGGTAGCGCATATTGAAATGGTAAGAACCGCTGAGCTAAAAGCAGACTCACTTTATTCGAATAAACGCCTTCTCAGCACCCAACCTCGTTCCCAGGCTCTTTGCTCTTGGGAATTCCCAAGAGCAAAGAGCCTGGGAACGAGGTTGCTCAGCACCGTCGCGTGCACCTACTCGTGGACAATGTTGGGAAATTTTCATAGTAACAATCGTCATTTGGCCTGGGAGCCTCGCTCTCATAAATCGTGACCTATTCACCTTGCGTAATTTACTAATGAGAGCAAGGCTCCAAGACCAAAACGTATGCCTGTGAGGTAATTATCGAAAAGGTGTATTATACAACCATAATCCTTAACCCTAGCCTGTTATGCGAGTTTATTGACGTTTTATATGATGGTGTATATGGGGTCCGAATTCCCTTGGAAACTTTTCATCAGTTCCCCACAACAATTTCATGATCTTCTTTTAATCTTGTTCTCTTTGATCTTTTTGACTTTGTTCCCTAGAAACCCCCCATCGAGTTCATAAGCACTTGCTCTGAAATAAACGCCTCTTCCTTAATTTTGAACACTCAAACATTCGATACAAAATAATACCAAAACAATGAGACAATAATCCAGAATTTGTATTTGCACCAAGATCGATACACAATTAAAACATTATTTCAACCTTTCATTTCTCCTTAACCCTTTATCTATCAAACAAATATTATTAAAATAATCTAATGTCACCCAAATTAAAATACTTGAGAGACCGATTTAGAGTTAATATTTACAACAATAAACAGTATTAGATATACAACATATTGGGTAATGTTGGCTGATAGCCCAAAAGGGTTTGGCATTCATTACACTCATCTTATTCATAACGTTCTGACCGAAATCTCCGACCATGCATAGTATCCATCAAAAAATAGGGTCTGTGAGCCGAATATTGATATTTGTCGATATTTCTACTGAAATCTTACAAAATATTTTACTGACATCTAATCAAATTTTAGCCGACAACTTATCTCAAAAACCCCCAATTAAGACAAAATAGTTGGTCTAATATTTAAATCGTTACGTCCAATACTTCATACGTGACAAGGGACGATACGATAATGTAAATAAACCAGAGAGAAATGAAGAAAATTCCAGTAAAATATTTGGACTTCACAGGTCCACCAAGTTCAGCTTCACCAAACACGGGAAGACGACGACGTACCATCAAGAATGTCAAACAGATGGTCGCACATACTGCGTAGACAATTACACTGATCGTTAATGTACCAGCTTCAACCACAAAAACTTGGTCCTGAAATTAACATGTGAAATGGTTAAGTTAGGTTAGGCATGGATTCAAAACTTTTAAGGAGTGGATATGTTATAGGAGGAACTTCATATCACTTAAAAAATATTTTTACTAGATAGCTCTATCAGTTCTACAATGGGTCATCCCTTATTGCTCCAGTGTAATAAACTAACTTCATTTATGCTGGATAGCTCTATCAGTTCTAAACTGTTCTCCCTAGAGGTCCAGTAAGGATTATCTGTTAATGATCCAGTATTACTACAGGAGGAAACCTAAACTAAACTAACTTTATTTATACTGGATAGTTCTAACAGTTCTAAATTGTTCTTCCTAGGGGTCCAGTAAGGCTTATCTATCATTGATCCAGTATTGCTATAGAGGAGGAAACCTAAACTAAACTAACTTTATTTACACTGGATAGCTCTATCAGTTCTCTCATTCTATTAACTGTGATCAGTTCTAAACTGTTCTTCTTAGACTAAGACGTCCAGTAAGGATCATCTCTTATTGATCCAGTGTTAGAGACTTAGAAGTCCAGTACGAGCCATCCCTTGTGAGTTCAGCATTACTACAAGAGTACCTCAAGAACACCTGCAGCGTATGGCAGAGTCAAATTGGAAGCACTCTTTTCACATGAGATTGAGGCGAAATGATACAACTGCCAAGGTCAGATAAAGGCCTGTCATGTGAACACGGTTTAAAAAAGCGAAATCCGTACCTTGGCATGCCAATAAGCTGCAGCAATCACCCACGGCGTGCCCAAACCAAGAAACACATTCACGGAGTTACTGCCAGTTACATTTCCCACACACGCGTCAGCATGCTTCTCAGCAACCGCGGCAGTCTTGCTTGCAAACAGATCTGGTAAACTGGTTCCCATAGCAACGAATGTGATGGCGGTGACCTCCTTCTTCAAGCCAACCAGACAACCAAATATGGTAGCGAGATCGCCCACTACTGCAGTGAGAATACCTATCATTCCCAAGGCAACACCGAATGCTAGCCAGCCGCCAAGCCACGTACAAGGAGGACATAGTGCGAATATTACCTAGAATGAAAAGTTTACTATGTTTGGCAACAGCCATTTCATCGCAGCTGTCGCCATATAAAGGTTGGTTCCCACTATCTGTGATCACAGTATCACACCAGTCACCGTGCTATGGTTGTGATTCTCACGATAAGGAATGCATAGGGAATTCGGCTAAGAAAGGTATGGTATGGAATGATTTTTATGGTATATGGTATGGCATGATATGCTGTGGTATGGTGGTAGTTCATGGTAGGGTATGGTACGGTAGGGTAGGGTATGGTATATGATATGGCATGGCATGGTATGGTATGGTATGGAGTGATATGGTATGATATGGCAACGTTCATGGTAGGGTATGGTATGTTATGGAGTGATATGGTATGATATGGTATGATATGGCAAAGTTCATAGTAGGGTATGGTGTGGTATGGTAACATGGTGTAGTGTGGTGTGCTGTGGTATGCTACAGTACAACACAGTACAACCAAACCCGCATGGGTATAGTTTTGTCAACTCCAAGAAACCCAGTGACTGAAACAATGCTATCTCACTAACAATACCATACAGCAAAGAAAAGAAAAGTTAGAAAACATACTTTCCAAGGGAAGGTAATAAAATGCATGAAATAATCCATGGACGTTGCATTCTCAACATCTCCTCCATTGACAGACATTGCATTTCTGAACTGTTGTCCCCAGGTCTCTGAACCGAGCTTCATACGGTTCAAATTGAGATGTGTGAGACCAACAACACGATCGAATACTCTTTTGTACTCTGAAAAATAGGCAGATGATAGGTCAGGATCTTACAAACAAATAAACAAACAAACAATCGCTTACCATCATCATTGACTATGGTCACAATAGTCTTCTGCAGACGCCCTAAAGTGGCACCCCCAGTGGGATTTCTTAATTCTATCACAAACGATTCATCTTTTTCAAACTCTTTATCATCATTAATGTCAATATCAACTGTCTTGATCTGTTCAGCATGTTCAAACGTCACTGTTCCATTACCGCCAACATAGTCTTTCCCATTGATTGCTGATTGGTCCTTGGTTGTCCACGTGACACTTACGGTACCGTCCGTACCTTTGGTACGCTCCAACACCAAACTGGCTTTGCCAATACTTTCCTTGACTACGTAGCTGGGTTTCTGGAAACTGATTACGCCAGGTTCTGTAAAACAGACGTCATGTTGTTGTATTTACTAACTATTAGATCAGTGGTTGCATTACACTATAACACTATGCAATACATATAGTATTAGATTACATAACATAACTTCAAAAACTCAATAATTCATGAGGAAAACATATGTGATAGAGATTTCCCTTGATTTACATAAACTTTAACTTTGATTTTCTCGTTTTTGAAGCAATTTAAAACATTCGCAGTGCGTGTTTTATCAAACCTAAAGATACTCAGTTTCATCTCGTATCTTTATATAGCTGATAAAACACTGCTGCTCATGTTTTACATGGTATATACCATTACGTTGCATCATACTCCGTAGTGAGAACAGTTTAGAACTGACAGAGCTATCCAGTACTAGGATTCCTCTTGTAATAACAATTGACCACTAAGGAATGGATCTCACTGGACCGCGGGAGACAATTTATAACTTATAGATGCGAGTTTCTACCTACCGTCATCATTAATAATGGTGACTTCAGTAATACTCTGATGACCAATCTGAACCTGTGTCTCGGACGCATCATAACATGACAACTTCACAAAGAAAACTTCATCTTCCTCCCACTCGTTATCGTCTATGATTTCAATCGTCACGTGTTTTGACGTCTCGTCGGGTTTGAATACCAACGTGTCCTTCTTGGCAATGTAGTCAGAGTCTGCCAACGCCGTGCCGTCTATCGTCTCGAAACTAAGCGCGGAGAAATGTGGTTATGTTTCAAATACACAAGTAAAAATCTCACAACTTGTCAACAAGATGTGTTCGCAACAGGCTTGTAGCAAGCTTGTCAACAAGTCGTAACAATGCAATCTCGTTCCCAGAGTATGCCTACATAACCCGCGAACAGGCATGCTCAAGTGGCTACAAGGTTGTCACTCACAACTTGTGGACAAGTTGTTGAATTGAAGGACAATAACAAGTTGTTGGAACGACTTGTAAGAAGTCTGTTGAGCTCAACAACCTTGTAGCAAGTTCTCAACAAGCCGTTGACAACTTGTCAACAAGCTGGGAACAAGCAGGGCGAACACATCCTGTTGACAAGTTGTTGGAACAGCATTGCTACAAGTCTGCTGCAGGTTTGTTACAACTTGTACGTTTTTACGTGTGTACAACGAAGCCTTACTTGACAACAGCTGGTATCTTAGTATTTCCAGTCCTTATAATGGCGACTTTCACCAGCTTTGCACTTTCCAATACTGCATATTTCGGCGACGCGAACTCAACGAACGTTTTTGGAGGTTCTGTGGAAAAAAGAAATGCGAGAAATTAGCGCAGTTAAAACACACGATGAAAGCAAAAACGAGGAAATATTGGCAACAATTTCAGCAATTTTTTCCCCATTTACCTGAAGCAGATGAATGAATATGGGACAGAGCCTCAGAAGAGAAACCAACTTCACTGAGTTCATCATAGGCCTGAACGAAATAAATATATTTGTTAGTACTCGCAACTTGTTGACAAATTGTTGAATTGCAGTACGATAGCAAGGTGTTGGAACAACTTGTAGCAAGTCTGTTGAGCTCAGCAACCTTGTAGCAAGTTGTCAACACGCGTAAAAATCTCACAACTTGTCAACAAGTTGTGTTGGCAACAGGCTTGTAGCAAGCTTGTCAACAAGTTGTAACAATATTGTTATTTTATCAAGTTGCTAAAAGGTTGTCACTCGCAACTTGTTGACAAATTGTTGAATTGCAAGACGATAACAAATTGCTGGAACAACTAGTAACAAGTCTGTTGAGCTCGACAACCTTGTAGCAAGTTGTCAACAAGCCGTTGAGAACTTGTCAACAATCTGGGAATAAGCAGTGTGAACAAGGAAACCCATTAAGTCGCTAAAATTCGCGCAGGCAAGAACATTACCCACCTCGTGCAAATGTGTATTCATTGATGGAGTCAATTTCTTGCCGCCCCCAATCCCCCGTATTGCTCCGACGCGGTAGTAGCCATAATTCTTTGGTTGTTTGGCTTGAATACGCATCGCCACGAGCTTCGCTTGTTCCTCTTCAGTAAAGTTTGAATTCTGACTCAATTCCTAAAATAAAAAATATGTTTTGGTTTGTGCACAAAATGGGAACTTTTGCTTGAGATAATACTCTTTTCTATATTCTATATATTCGGTAATACTTTTTTCAATATTCTGAACCCCCCATGAGCAAAACACAAACGGAAACCGTATCATTGTCTTGACACAACGTAAATGAACTCTATTCTCTATAAAAACTAGTTCTTTTGGAAGTTTTATTCGTATATTATAATGATTTTAAACGCCTCCAAGTATGTTAAAGAGACTCGATTAACGCCTAGTTTTTCGCCACACCTTTCTGTGTGTTTTAAATTACTATGAACCTCAGAACTGACCTTGATAAACGATTTGATTTCTGGATCATTCGTCGAAGGCGTGAGGATTTGAGAACCTTCAGCTGTAACAGAAACAGACAATAGAAATATTTATGGTATTTTCTTGAAGGTGCAACTTTACGTCTGAAAAACATTCCGGTAATTGCATTCAGAATACGTAATCAAGATTGTACGATAAGGGGCATAGAAGGCTACACACGTAAAAACGTACAAGTTGTTACATGTCTGCAAACAATTGTTGCAAATCTGTTCACAAGCTGTCGACAACTTGTGTTAGCACTGCTGTTCCCAGTTGTTGTGACAAGTTTGGAACAAGCTGTTAACAACTTGGAACAAGCTTGATGGCATTATCAGACATGTTACAAGGTTGTTCTAACAAGTCTGATACAGTCATGATATAACAAGAACGTTACATGGTTGACGACACCAGGTTGTAACAAGATTGTCATATCACGACTGTATCGGACTTGTTGGAACAACCTTGCAACCAGTCTGATAATATTAACAAGGTTGTTTCAAGTTCTTAACAACTTGTTGCAAACTTGGGATAAGCAGTGTGAACACAACTTGTTGACGGCTTGTTGGCAGATTTGCTACAAGATGCGAGATTTTCACGCGTGTGCTGACTGAAACCCACTTTTCCCAAAGGGCTTAACGATACTTCATCTAATTCTTACCTAATTCCAGCATCCCGATATCCTGGGAAGGACGGACTCCGCCAGAGGAACACCCTAGCTCCTTGTCCGCCATATAGGCAATGATCACCAGAATTGGGAAGAGCAGGAAAGTGAAGATAGCTTCCCACAAATCCACCACATTCTCGGTGTGAAGCCTCAGTATAACGATCAACCATACGTACGACATCACGCTACAAACAGCCGTCACGCCAAAAACTTTCAACGACTTGATAGTTCGTACTTCGCCGTTCGGAATACCCATGACACAAACTCCGGTTATCACCAGCAAATTAAAAGCAGCTGAGCCGACTATGGTGCTCGGTCCAAGTTTCCCAGCTTCGAAATTCGCGCCGACTATTTCAATAATGGATAGAAGGATTTCCGGAGCGGACGACCCCAGCGCCATTAGGGTCAGATTCGCGACGGTGTCGTTCCAGACTCGGACTTCCACCTCCTCGTAGTCGTTGTCGGCGCCGGGTTTAGCAACTTTTACGATTTTAATTTTGCTCGTGATCGTTTCGATCGCACACATGAATACGTCAGCGACGATCGCTACACCGGTAAACGACCATATTAGCGCGACGAAATAGAATATGATACGAACTGCTTTCGACCATTCGCTTTCGTTGAGTATGGGAAGTAATAAAGTCCCTTCGCTTTCTTTTGAGCATTCGTAGTCAATTGCACACGGCATTTCGCTCTAGTTTGTTTAGTATAGGACAGTTTTTATAAATCAAAGTCTTACCTTAGACCTTTCGCGAGGTTTCTACCGTTGGACACCGATATCTGACAGGTGTGGTATTTAAATATTCAGTTTCTCACGAGCTTTAAACTGTCGCCAAAGTAACCAAACTAAGAGAGCTTGCTAGAGAGTGCCAAAAATTCCAAAGATATTTTAAAGTTGTAAATATTCTCTGTCGGTGACTTTACGAAGGCAAATTTTGGTACACCCTTCTGACAAATAATGTCCAAATGTCGCAATTAAAATTGACAATATTAGTTTGCTAACAGCAGTACGCGAAGTATAAATATTAGCGCAAACACGGTACGTTTGATATCAAATTACTTTAAAGTTTAAATAATCTTCTACGCTTCCACTAGCAGTTCTAATATTCCAAAAGGTCTTTTATAAAAAAATGCCAGGAGCGACGGTCTTCAGTAAGACAGTATAGCTTTTAATCTGAGATTGCTTCAAATTGCTCTTTGTTAGAATTTAAATTACCCCAAACCTGCTTTGACTCGCCAAACCTCGCCAAGACCTCGGCCAAGACAAACTTCACTCGAGGGAACCCTTCGACTTTTGTAGTAGCCAGACGTATAGTTTATGACAGAAGCTTCTCCAATCAATACAAATTTATTTAGCGTACTTCCTATGTAACTAAAATTGGTCATACACAACTCAACCGTATAATATAGACCTCTCAAGGTTGAGTGTAGAACTAACCAGACGCTTTAAAGGCATTTTTGACATACTTATTAACAAAATATATCGACAGCACCATTATACTCCGCATCCAAATTTTAGTTTTGCTACTGCTATTCTTTATGTAGATATTCGTTGTTTCTTAGTTACCGGTTCCAAGTTAAGCAAATTTACGATTTAAAACACACAAACGAATATATAATAATTTAGTGACGCGTTGTCGCGTAGGCAACAGTAACTATAGACATTTCAGCTGTTTAATTGCATGCTAAAGTACGAATTTATGTACTTTATTCTTTAAGTATTTATGCTCTCGACAAGCAAAACATACACAAAATTGTATGTATTTTTAAAAACAATTGGCAAACTTCGATTCACGCCAAGAACAATACCAGTATGGCTGTACAGTTAAATCCTTTTTCACAGTGACATAAATTTACGTTTTGCCTAACATGAAAATTTTACACAATACAGAAACAAGTGAAACTAACATTAGGTTACTTCGAACCTACAATTATATGAAAATAATTTTTGTAATACGTTTTGTAATTTTTGTAATACGCCCGGTTCACATTGATATCGAGTTCTTAATTAAACAATTTATGGCCATGCTGAGTTGAATATTTAATTCGCACGAGAAACGCCCGTGTCTGTCGAATTATCTAGGCGCAACATATTGAAAATATTTATGTATATTTGTCGTTCATAATATTTGCAAAGAATGCTCTATCGGAAATAGAGGGTGTGTCTAGGAATTCTTAACTCACTAAATACTAACAAATTATTTGGCTAAAAGAAATTTCTCCATCACTTGTTTGAATTTGCAAACATACGAAACATTTTAACGCCACCGAGCTGTAGATTTAACTGAAGTATTCACAGAAATAATAATATCAGTACAATGACTATAATGTACCTATTATATGCTGATTATTATAAAGTAAGTATCATTATAAACTTCATTTAAGATTATTCTACAGTATCAAATGCAATAATCCAGTTCAGGTATTGATCTCCGTTACATTAGGCAAAGTGTACTATAAATCAGCCTGTGGCCCTGCGGATTCCGGGGAAAGCCCTTCGGGGGCCGGTTGTATAAAACTGTTAGGGCCTGTTCATATGGGCAGAAGTTATCCCGGTTAGCGAGAAAACTTTTCGACAAGTTTACGAGCGAGATCTCATCATGTTACGAAAATAATATGAAAAGTTACATTGCGTTCATATGAGACGAAAAGTTTTCCCGTGCATACCGAGATCTCGCTTGTTGACAGGCGAGATCTCGGTGACCGGGATAATGTTTTCCCCATATGAACACAACTTTCCCGCTTAGCGGGATAACTTTTTGTCGTGTCAGCAACTTTTCAATTCAATTGATGTTCAGTGCTACGTCACAGCCGGAAACTTTTCCCGGTAAGTGGGATAATATTTCCCCATATGAACAGAACAAAAGTATTTGGCTAGTCAAAAAGTTCTCTGAGTCTCGTTAACCGGGATAAGTTTTGCCCATATGAAAAGGCCCTTAATCACTTTTTTAATCACTATTTTGTAGTCGCTTATTATTGGATGACGTTTCCACTAACTATAGTGAACTTTAATCACTTTTTTATACAACCGGCCCCAGATGTAAAAATGTCGATATCTCAGAATGTGCTTGCGAGCAACGCTCGACTATATGGTCACCCGTGACACTAGATATAAAATACTAAAGATATATTTACATGCATGGCCACCCGTCGCATATACTTTGCATGACAATACAGATGAGACAACTATTTACAAAGACATAACTGAATCATGTTTGCTTTGCTAAGTAACTTGGATGGATGAATTATATTTCTGATACGAACACAGATTATACAGACTATGTTTTCGTGTGATACTAAACGTTTATACTTGTGTGTGGCTTACGGTTAATGACAACGTAAAATGAGCAATCCATCAAATGATTTAAGGTATTTAAATACTTGAATACTAATCTGAATTAAAATTGTCAAGACCTAAGTAAATATAACACGATTTGAGCCTGCTCACCGCCTAAATACAATTTGTATTTTAAGATGTACTATATTAAATATAAAATATAATATAAAATATCGTGAACTATTAAAATATAAGATCTGATAACTTATGATTGAAATTATCACCGCGTCACGGAGCATGCCATTACGTCAAGTTCAAAATAAATGACGAAAGTGAGCTATGATACACACCCGCAAAAATCTTACATCTTGTAGCCGTCAACAAGTTGTGTTCGCACTGCTTGTCCCAAGTTGTCAACAAGTTTGGAACAAGCTGTTAACAACTTGTAACAAACCTTGTTGCTATTATCAGACATTCAGACTCGTTGCAAGGTTGTTCCAACAAGTCCGATGCAGTCATGATTAACAATATTTTTACAACCTTGTGTGGTCAACCTTGTAACATTCTTGTTATATCATGACTGTATCACGCTTGTTAGAACAACCTTGTAACAAGTCTAATAATGCCATCAAGCTTGTTACAAGTTGTTAACAGCTTGTTCCAAACTTGTTACAATAACTGGGAACAAGCAGTACGAACACAACTTTGCCGACAGCTTGTGAACAGATTTGTAACTTGTTTGCAGACCTGTAACAACTTGTGCGTTTTACGTCATGTGTAGTGTCATCTACCACCTATCCATTTCCCCCGTTATTAGTTCCTTTTATTTCATTTGACTTAGCGAAAGAAACGAAGAGGTCAACAACCACAAAAGGAAGGTTCAAGAGTTGCTAAACAATGCAGCTATGCACTATTTACAAAACAAGACCTCGGAAAATTACATGGTTGCCTCAGCGAACGTCGCAATTCTGCAGTGTTTGGCAATACTCATAAATGGCCCAAAACACGAAAGCCCCAAAGACATTAGCGAAGATGATAACAGTATTCATGAAGCGATAAAATTCGCGCGTAGTTTTCTGGAAGGCAAAAGTGACTTGCTAGGCAATGAAATTACCATACTTTACAATATCTGGCTTAGAAATGGTTTAAAATTAAACAGAAAAGTTCCAGCAATCATTGCAAAGTATTACAATTGTGAAATGAAGATTCTACCAATAGCGAATAACAATGTAAATGCGTCAAAGTTAAAGAAAAAGCTTCAGAAATCGGATCGGTCAGGAAGATTCACAGAGGAGTTTCGTAGAGCAGCATTTTATAATATCTGCCCGCAAGATATACTCGTGACATCTGGTTTCTACGTGGAAATGGCATGGAGGGAGCCTTTCATAGAAAACCTTACAACCAAAGGAACATTCCATATTTCCGAATCTGAAAGAATCGAAGTCGAGATGATGGTCCAGAGATCTGGGCTAGTTTGTGTAACTTGTGACAGCATCAACGCAACGGTTTTACAACTGCCTCTAACCGCTCACAACATGTGTATGTTGGTGTATTTACCATACGACAAAACCAAAGGTCTGGACGATATTTCAAAACATTTCACTCCAGGAAATTTTGAAATATTGGTGAGAAAGTTGACGCAGAGTAAACCAAAGCCGGTTTACGTAACGCTACCTAAGTTCAGCTTAAAGCAATCTGGTATAATGCCAGCTACCTTTTCTGAAACAGAGGACACTTTAGAAAGCAATACAATTGTGGCACCCGGTTGCAAGATATTTCAAACATCAACACTAACCATCAGTGAATATGGACTGAACACAACGAAAACTGGCCAATCAGAGGCTACCATGACAGGGCCCGCAGTGCATGATGGTATTAAATGGACACAATTCACGGCAACGTCGCCATTTCTGTTCATGTTAGTGGATACGGAGTACAAGCTGATTTTTTTGGTAGGAAAGGTGGCGAGGCCAGGAGAATTAAAGGAAGTTAAAAGTAAAATAAAGAAAAATAGAAATTGGTGCTGTATATAGACATAGTTGTTAAAAGTTATGTTAAAAACTTAAAATATAAGAAATGAATGAAATTTTATCACGACACTTATAAAATACAAGGACGTATGAATTATAGTTTTACATTTTTTTCACTTACTGATCGAAGGTTTCACCAAACTAATAAAGTTCGGTCGTATTTCCGCAAAACAAAACCACTAGTGTTTTAAACATGAGCAATTCATTAGTATTTATTATTATTCATAAAAACAATTATTTTATAACATTCCTAGTTAGATCGTGCTGTGTTTGAACTATAGTATATATTCTGAACTATTAAATACAGATATCGTGCCTTTTGATTAGTTTAGATTCATGACTGTGTTGATCTTTACTGAGTTATACTCTAAATACCGTGCTGTGATTGAACCTGGTATACACTATCAAAGTTTCTGTGATCACAGTAGGAATTTTGCATGGGTATAAATGTAAGAAATGTTTGAGGAAACTGACTTATTGTTTAACACTATGTCAGTTCCCTCAAACATTTCTTACCAAACCTTCAAAACTTACAAATTACCAATGCAAAATTCCAATTGTGATCACAGAAACTTAGAGTGTAAATACCACATAATTAGTTACAACTAAGAATTAAGATTAGTCTATTGTTACTGCTGTAGACTCCCAAACATTACTCGACATTTGCCAGTTTCAAAACCCAGGCCCAATCAGACGGGAGCTTCGTGACAGGTACCTGAGGCATTTGTATAACCATACCTTTCCCTCCTGTCCCTTGTTTCCATTCTATATCCATATTTAACCCTAACATAGCCACCTTCGTATGATCAGGGTCTGCAACAGGCGCCATTAACTCCAATGTGTTACTACGTGGCCACTGTAGCACGATGGCATAAACAACGTCGTCTTTTGATGTGTACCTTGGGGGGAGAACATTTGACAGTAATATACACACGTAAAAACGCACAAGTTTTAACAAACCTGCAGCAGACTTGTAGCAATGCTGTTCCAACAACTTGTCAACAGGATGTGTTCGCACTGCTTGTTCCCAGCTTGTTGACAACTTGCTACGAGGTTGTTGAGCTCCACAGACTTGTTACAAGTTGTTCCAACAACTTGTTATCGCCTGCAATTCAACAATTTCTCAAAAGGTTGTAAGTGGCAACTTTGTAGCAACTTGATAAAATAACAGCATTGTTAAGCCTGGTTCACATATGCCTGCGGCATGCCTGCGACTGTATGATTATGCCTCTACTTGCCGCCGAAATACCGGCAAAGTTGAACTCAAGTCAACTTTCCCGGCCTACCGCCGATGTAACTGTGGCACTGGAGGCAATCGGCGAACAAATGTTCACATAATTTACGTTTTAAGCTACCACCGGCATCGTCGCCGGTACGTCGCAGGCATATATGTGAACCAGGCTTTACAACTTGTTGACAAATTTGGTACAAGCCTGCAGTCGTGAACACATCTTGTTGACAAGCTTGCTACAAGCCTTTTGAGAACACATCTTGTTGACAAGTTGTGAGATTTTGACGTGTGTAGTATTCTTACCATATTCCTTCAGTTTTTGTTTCGTTCTGCACCCGCCATGGTTTTGACGCGTAAATAGCTTCACCGTTCACTTTCAACCAATCTCCCATCTGTGTGAGTCTTTCTTGAAATATTGGTACTATACGACCATCGTGGGTAGGTCCGACATTCATTAACAGATTACCGCCACAACTGTTGCAAAGTGATTTATATTTCAGTAAAGCTCAGACTCATTACACGGGAGCGAAATAATGTCGGCAGAATTACGTGTGTTCAAACTACGCATCACATTTTGTTTACAAATTAAATTAACACTCATGTAAACCCAAAATATTTCAAATAGAGCAAAGAAATTTAAACGAAAAGCATTCAAGTTTACTGCTTTGAGACCTGAGGTGCTTGGTTTGGAAACGGTTCAAAAAAAAGGAACGGCGTTTCTGTACACATGCCTCTTGAGTACGACTCTTATTAAATCTGGTCACTAACATTTTGCAAAATGTATTCGGAAAAAGTGTTATTTTCTGCTGGCTGAGGAACGAAAGAGGCAGAAAATGTTTTTCTCACACTGCTGGGGGATTGGGTCAAGGGTGGGGTCAAGGTCATCAGAGTCACTTTTTTGCTTGCCTCGTGCTAGCCTGACCTGTGTCCCACCCACCCACCCTATTGGCAGGTAGTGCCTAAGTTATTATGCAGTTGCAGTAGTGTGCTAACTAGAATTGGGTCTAGTCTAACACGTGATAATTAGTGAATTGCAGTTTGTACGGATCTGTTTATTGTAAATATGAGAAATTTTTGTTGATTAAAGGTCTGGCTGCCTTGCGTGTGCAGCATCCCTCAGCTGTGTGTGAGAATTGAAATTTTCTACTTTACTTAAGCATGTATAAGACCTTCTGACCAAGGATTGCAGTTAGCTTCCGAGGAACTTGCAGGTAGCGCCGCTACACACGAAACCGCCAAGCCGCTTGTTTTAGGCCGGCGAACGGCGAATTTCGGCAGCGCTAAGAAACCATTTGACAGCCATTCGCCAGAGGCTGTGTGTAATTCGCTGGTACTTGCAGACATGACAAGCTGAAATTTTTAGCCCGGTCTTGCACTAGGACAATATACCAAATAGACGAAGCTCGCAAGCCTTTGCCCACCACTCAACTCACAGCGACCTTGAAGCTTCGACTTTCCATTCTTCGCATACTCATTTCGCAAATCAATTAATAACCAGAGCCTCAGTAGAGCAAAACAGTATTGGCCATACCCAAATCATTATTAGACCAGGACTTCAAACGGATATCTGAAGGGCTGCTCCAGGCGCTCCGTTTTCATCTCGCTCTAGCCTGCTAATCTCGCTCCGTTTAGAAACTGTTCTCAAACGGTGAAAGTGACGTTTTGAAACAATTTAGTAGTGTATTTAGTAGTATATATACCTCACAGTTTCAGCAAGTTCTGAAATCAGTTCATGAATGGTAAGAAAATCTTCTAGCTTGGCCTCACGTCGAAATCCCCAAGACTTTTTATCCACTGTCATTGCATTCTCCCACTTGTGTTTCTGCAATATACCTGAGTGAACAATTTTGAATGCGTGAAACAATGGATGCCATGTTTGGATGTAGCATTATGGTATATCAGTAAAATTAATTTATTATATAAAGTATAGTGCTTTATAGAGATTTCGAGCAATGATAAAAGTGATAATCTCACATGTGAGATTATTTATGATAATCTCACATGTGAAAATTATCGCTTTTCAATTATCGCTTTTCTGTAAAAATTATCGCGAGATACCATGTTCAACACTAGAAATAAATCTGGTATTTCCGCGCACCCATGTATTATTCTCTATATAATTTATTATATAGTAGAGAGTGAGATACTGAAAAATACACAGCGAGATATTTTCAGTATCTTCACTAGTGACTATCTTCACTATATCGATCACGTAACTTTTTCCAATTTGCTTTTGAGCGTGAAATTTCACAATTTTTTGCTTGGGACTATACAATAAACAGAACATTACATGGCGGCACGAAGATATGACTTTATCTTCTTGTGTTAAAAACAATATTTTACTCACTCGTTGCGCTCGTTCGTAAATATTGTTTTCACCACTCGAAGATAAAAGTCATATCTTCGCGCCGCCGCGTAATATCCTCTATATATACCGGTGTACCGCTGTACCTGGGTCATATCTATCAGCACAAGTATAAGACCCGCCATGACGACACCTGCAGTTATCACCCCAACGATCATTCACCACAACTGTGTCTTTGACTGGACTGTAAGAAGAGCAAGCAAACAATGTAAGGCACAATTGCAACTTAGGGGCTTCGGTGACTGCGGATCGACTCGTAATACTTATGTGAAAAGAGTCAGTCGACACTCTCCCGAAAGTCGTGGGTTTTCTCTGGGTACTCTGGTTCCTCCCACAGGGAATGTTGAGAGAGTTGGTTGGGATAAGGTCAGACATGAGTCATAAGGTGTCTGCCAGAGGCGCCCTTAGAAAGCCTTCGAGTCAGTGATCAGGTGCAAGTAAGGATGATTAGTACACACCCTTAACAGTATGGTTAAGCTTTAACATGCATAATCAGGGCTATCCTCAAACCTCACCTGTCATTGTAAAGCCAAGCCAGAAACTCTGTACTTCCCCAGTATGTGTCCTTCGCCTCCCAATCTCCATCTGACCAAATATATTCTGGTTTGAATCTGTTTACCATGTCATACAGTTCAGGCATTAGAATATTCTTAAAAAGCAATAAACTGTATTGTCATGATGGTGATGATGATGCTGGTGGTGGTTTGGTGGTGGTGATGGTAGTGATGTTGGTGATGGTGATGATGGTGGTGGTGATGATGGTGGTGATGATGGTGATGATGATGATGGTGATGATGATGATGGTGATGATGGTGGTGATGATGGGGGTGATGGTGGTGATGATGGTGGTGATGGTGGTGATGATGCTGGTGGTGGTGGTGATGATCACAGGTGATGATGGTGATAATGATGGTGATAACGGTAGTAGTGATGGTTAAGTGATGGAGTGGTGGTAATTATAATGATGATAATGGTGATGATCACAGGTGATGATGGTGATAATGATGGTGATAACGGTAGTAGTGATGGTTAAGTGATGGAGATGGTGGTAATTATAATGATGATAATGGTGATGATGGTGAAAATGGTGGTGATGATGATGGTGGTAATGATGATGGTGGTAATGATGATGGTAATGATGGTGGTGGTGATGATGATGGTGGTGATGATGAAGATGGTGGTGATGATGAAGATGGTGGTGGTGATGAAGATGGTGGTGGTGATGAAGATGGTGGTGATGATGAGGTAATGATGATGGTGGTGATGATGGTGGTGATGGTGGAGATGGTGGTGATGATGGTGGTGGTGATGATGAAGATGGTGATGAAGATGGTGGTGATGATGTGGGATGAAGATGGTGGTGGTGATGGTGGTAATGATGATGGTGGTGATGATGGTGGTGATGGTGGTGATGATGGTGGTGGTGATGATGAAGATGGTGATGAAGATGGTGGTGATGATGGTGGTGGTGATGGTGGTGGTGATGAAGATGGTGGTGGTGATGAAGATGGTGGTGGTGATGAAGATGGTGGTGATGAAGATGGCGGTGATGAAGATGCTGGTGATAGCAATAGTGGGATAATGATAATGGTATGGTGATAATGGTGGTAGGAATGATGGTGGTGGTAGTTGTGATGATGGTCATGGTCGTGATGATGGTTATGGTGATAATGATGGTTGTGATGGTGTTGGTGGTTGTAGTGATGTTGATGGTGGTGATGGTAATGATGGTGGAAGCAGTGGTGATGATGATGGTAACAGAAGTGTTGGTGGTGATTGCAATGGTGGTGATGATGGTAACAAAATCATACTTACTGCGATATAAACACGAGTTTTGAAGCCATTTGCTTTGTCTTTCAAATACAAAGGATTAAACCATTCATACAATGAATGATAAAGACCAAATGTGATATTGGTCCGAGCTCTGATGGACTTTGCCAAATCACCTACCAATGCATAATATATATTAGTAATAAATTTCACAACGGAACAAAATAATCACACAATACACCCTTCGTGAAAGTATGTCACTTTAGCTATAAAGCCTCGCTTAAATGGTGTATGTGACGTTAGTCAGTGCCTGGAGTCATGAAAACACGGCTCTGTAGCGAAGGTGATGTACTTTCTGGAAGCGTTGATTGTCTGGTCACAAGTCAATTGACGACGCCCAACACATTCTCCTAATGACAATTAAAACTGCCCGTTGTTAGACAGAGTAAAATAACAATGTAGTGCACACACCAATAAGATTCCTGTGAGGTCCAACATCTTCTGAATTCCAATTCCAGGAAACATTGGATCCCCAGTTGGTAAAACCTTCATGATGCTTGCTCGTCAAAACAAAATATCTAAAAATAAGCAATGCATTCCACGTAAATGATCAATACGCAGGATTTACACCCCTCCCCCTGTTGAGGAGCCTTGGAACATTGAACTATAAATAAACTGGAAGGCTAACTCAGGGGGGGAAATTGAAGCCAGTGCATTTTAGTTTTTCTGAGTTATGAGCAGAAATACTC